AGTGCAGAGCGCGGCGGCCCGGAGATGGCTGCGAGCGCCGCTCGCGAGGGCCCTCCCAGCGGCGAGATCCGCGCGGACCTTGCCTCCCCTCGCCACGCATGTTCTCCTGGCATCGCTCGGACGTGTGCATTTTGTTCTCGGCGAGGACCCTGGAGGAGCATCCTGCATCATCGAGCAAACACAAACACGCACGAAACCGAAACATGGCCCCGGGAATGGACGTCCGAGATGGCAAGTTCGACCTCCCTTCGCCGCACTTAAGTCGTGCCTGTCCCTCTACAGGGGGGATACCAAAAATAGTCAGGAATAGTCCTGGGACTATTTCTTAAACTATTTTTGAGCATTTTGGGAATACTGTTGGTGTATTTTGTTATTCTTCGTTCGAACTCCCCCTGTAGGGGGACAGGCCCGACTTAAAGCCACGCATGTTCTGCCTCCCTCTTCCCGCCCTCCTCCTCCTCCCTCTCATCCTCCCTTTTCCGAGGGGGTGGTGGTCGTCGCCCGCGCTGCTCCCGGCTCTGTGTGTGTGGGGAGGGCGGCGATGCCTACGGGGGCGGGGGCGTGCCTCCGGCAATATACCTGTCACGCCGGCTCGGCGGCGCCAGGACGATACCCGGTCTTCAGGGGCAACGATAGGGGGGGATAGGCATAGGGGGGGGGTGCATCGACCCCCAATCGCCCATTGATCGCCGATAGGGGGCCGATAGCCCCGACCCGCCCAGGAAGGTGCGGATTCACTATCGGAGGCCTATCGGCGATGTATCGTCGATTCCAGGTCGATGTATCCCCCCCTTATGCCAGTCCCCCCCTATCGTTGCCCCTCAGGTCTGGAGGCGGATTCAGATTATCAAAGCGAAGCGTCGGTTCCCACCCGTTTGCCCCTGGGCCTTTTTGCATTGCTCATCGTCGCCTTCGGTTTGTGCTCGACTCTGCGAGGTCACCGTGGGGGTCTTCTCCATGTACGGACCCGACCCGGAGAACCTGGTCCAGTGCACCATGGGGGTCAGTTGCACGCTGGAGTTCAGCTCTACAGCAAACTTGGCCTCGACAAACCAGGAGCGCGTGTTGAATGTCGTGTGCCATCTGCGTCTTTCCTTCCCCTCTCTCTCTCTCTTTCTCTCCCTCTTTCCCCCTCCCTCATTCATGTACATCGCATTTGGTGTGTTTTCTCTCTGTGTATATATGTCATGTCTCTTTCTATACTTATATGTACATATATATGTGTATATGTGTATATTCCGCTCCCTCTCTCTCTCTCTCTCGCTTTCCCTCCGTCTCTCATCACCATCCAGGCGGCAAATCCGATCCTTCATTTTCGTCGCAGTCAAGTGCCCCATAGGCCATGGGGTGCGAGCTTGTGTGACGGGTGGCCAACATCTTTCTCAGCAGCGAGGGCGGACGCCACCGCGTTCGGATAGCCGGCGGGCCGTGCTGGGACCAAGGGCACACAAAGGCGACGAGGGGAAAGGGGAGGGCGGCCGCGGAGGAGGAACGCGGGAGGAGGCCTCGGAGGTAGAGAGTATTTGCCGCGGAGAGGCGGCTGATCCAAAGTCAGTCCGGCGTCTTTTTCGCCGCCCACCAGCGCCGTAGTCCGGGGGCAGCGAGCGTGGTGCAAATGGTGTGGCAATAGCTTCTTTTGGGTCCTTAGGTGAGGCAGCGACATTCTTAGGGTAAGGTACTGGGTAATATGAGCTTTGGATGTAACAATGGATTCCTTGAGTATTGTAATGGGTTCGCTGTGTGTGCATACGCTCCTACGTTCCCTGTGTGATCTTGTATACACATTTGCATTCTAATGTGTTGCTATGTGTTCCTATTCATAAATGTGTGTTCATACATCTGCCTATGTGTTAGTCTGCGTTCCTATGTAAGCCCAAGGGCTCCAATGTATCCCCACGCGCTTCAATACAGTCCTATGCGTTCCCGCCTGTCCTGTATGCTCCTAACTTTATCATATCACGTGGGGCCCACTCGAGTCATACGGTAGCTGTTGATAAATCCAGCTGCCTTCGGCAATTCCGCCACAGTGCCAGCGCAGCTTTCTTGGTGCGATTATTCGAGAAGGCATGGATGGCCGTCACGTGTGACCTCTCGGGCGGGGATGCACGCCAGGAGGTGTGGCGAGAGGGTGGGCCTTAGAAGAGCACATGTACCTTGCCAGACAGCACTTGGCATTCCTCCACGCCTCAACGCGCCGGCGGGCACTGTGGCGGATGAATGGCCAATGGATATGACCAGGGATCGTTCTGTGGGTATGCATGGCTCCCTGGCTATGCACTGTCGCTTCCTATACTATTCTCGGGTCGGGCGAAAGGGGGGGATTGGGAAAGAAGGGGTTACGAAATTTGCTGCATGTAGCTGGTCTCGGCCTAACCGAGGGGCCAATTCCTCGATACATGGCAGCTCCCGGCGCCGGGAGGCGCCGAGAAAATCAGCTACGTGAGCTGATTCTCAAACCCCCCCTTTGCTATCCCCCCCTTTCGCCCGACCCGATATTCGTTCGTCTCCTATCCCTTCCAGGGGGCCCGGGGTGTCCTCAGGGAGGCCCAGGAGTCGAGGGATCGCAGGGAGTCCGGAGAGTCTCCCGGGGAGGCCAGGGAGGGGGGCTTCCGTCCGGGCGGGGGCCTCCTTCCTGCTTTGGAGCCCCGGGCGTGCAGAGCCCAAGGACTTGGCGTCGCTCGGACGTGTGCATTTTTCCTTCGGCGAGGACTCTCGAGGAGCATCCTTGGTCATTTGGCGAAGAAAACCACGCACGAAACCGAAAAAAAACACAGGGAATAGACGTCCGAGCGATGGCCAGAGGAGCCCCAGGAGCCCAAGCGGGCGAGGGACTCCCGGGAGCCTGGGAAGCCTGGGGCGTCCAGGCGGTCGACGGAGCCCTGGGTCCCGGGCAGGGGCGCGCACTGCGACGACTTCCCCCTCCTCTTCTTTTTCCTCCTCCTTCTCCTTCTCCTCTCCTCCTCTCCTCCTCCTCCTCCTCCTCCTCCTCCTCCTCCTCCTCCTCCCCCTCCACCTCCTCCTCCTCCTCCTCCTCCTCCTCCTCGTCCTCCTCCTCCTCCTCCTCCTCCTCCTCCTCCTCCTCCTGGGCGTTTTAGACTGACGGGGGCCGCTGGTCTCGGTCCAACGCGCTCCTTTCTCTTCCCAGTCATTCCCGAGGCATCGTCACGATTCCCAGCGCCTCGGCTCATGATGGGCATGTTTTCCACCGCCACCACCAGAACTTGGAGGGGAAGGGGGTCCTCTTCCTCCTCCTCCTCCTCCTCCTCCTCCTCCTCCTCCACCTCCTTCCCCCCTCCAACTTATGATGGTGGTGGTGGTGGAAAACTAGACCATCAGCTCATGCTCCCCTCGAGTTGCCAGTGAATCGGCAGTGCTGAGTGCTGCGCCGCCGAGATCCTGCTCGTGGCGACGTCGGACACCTGCGGCGAGTCCAACCCGAACGTGGCCTCGTTCACGGGGTTTTCCAACCCAGCGCCCGTGGGAAGCTCCAACAGCGAGTTCCCCCTGGGAGTCGGGGCCGCAGCTCCGCGCGCCGGAGCGTCGGGGAGGAGCTCGGAGCGGCTGTCGCTTCCGTCCAACCAGGCCTGACCACCGCTGAATTTGCCGTGCAGCTCTTCGCGCCACGGAGGAGGAGGAGGAGGAGGAGGAGGAGGGGGAGGAGGAGGAGGAGGAGGAGGAGGGGGAGGGGGAGGAGGAGGAGGAGGAGGAGGAGGAGGAGGAGGAGAGGAGGAGGAGGAGGAGGAGGAGGAGGAGGAAGGGGTCCTGGTCTGGGGTGGCCCCAGTCTTTCCAGGAGGTCCACCTGGGCCTCCGTCGCCTCCTCACGAGGCCCAGGGGCCCTCGGAGGTCCCGGGAGCCGTCGGAAGGCTGGAGCCACCTCGGGCCAGGGCCACCCGGCAGCACCCGCATGGATCACACTGAATCTCTGAGCACCGGGCCTACACCTCGCCTACACCTTCAGGGCTCAAGGAATGGTCCTCCTCCTCCTCCTCCTCCTCCTCCTCCTCCCAGTTCTCCTCCTCCTCCTCCTCCTCCTCCTCCTCTTCCTTCTCCTTCCTATTCTTTCAATCTGCAGGAAATCTGGGGGGGATCCCAGGTCGCGAGCCCTGAGACGGGGGTCAATGTAAACGGGGGTCAGCCAGGGCACAGGATCCTGCAGGATCCTGCGAAGACCCTCTTCTGGCTGACCCGGGTCAGCGAGCCGCTCGTGGCCGCGAGGCGGCCGCGCATATTGGCCGACCCGAGTTTGCGAAGACCCGCGCTGCAGTTTGTTTTATTTTGTCCTGCAGTTTTTGGCTTCCTGCTGACCCGGGTCTGGATTGACCCGGGTCAGAAGATCCCCGACACCTTACCCATCGGTCGTTGAAGGTGGGTATTTTGGGATTCCCAGATACCAATCTATTTTAGGCGCCTTCTCCTCGCTCCTCCTCCTCCTCCTCCTCCTCATCTTCCTTCCTTCTCCTCCTTCTCCTCCTCCCCTTCCTCCTCTTCCTCTGCAGCCTCTGATTCATCGGTCGTTGACCGTGGGTATCTTGGGGATTCCCACCTGCCAATCTATGTTAGGCGCCTTTCTACTTCAGTGATCGGGTGGCTTCACCTTCTCCGTCCTCCCAGGGGGGCGGGCGGAGCCCGATCTGCTTTTGACGCCCTCCTGCTTCATGTCTCTGCCTGCTTCTCAGGAGGGGGAAAAACACACAGACACACTTACTCGTCGATTCCTCAGGAAAAAAATTGAAAGCATGGGAGGTGGGGGGGAAGACAAACACACAGAAAATATGGGAACATGTGGGGACTCCGGTTCTCTGTGTCAATTTATTTGTGTGTTCCAAGGCCCCTTCAACTTCCTCCGACCGATGGGTAATCCTTTTGGGCTTGCTCTGGCCCCGTCAGCCGCAAGCCAGGCGTAGCAACGTTTGGGGAGCCGGGCGACTACAAGATATGCTGGGCCCACGAGCCGGGCGGGAGCCTCTCCGACTTCAATGTGGACGTGGGGACGTTCCGCATGAACGGCCCGACGCCGACATCCAAGCAGTGCGCCCGTGCTTTCTGCCAGCACGTGTGCCGCGGCATCGAATGTCAGTCTTGACGGAACAAAGAAAGTTATTATGCATAGTCGCATCTCCATGGGGCACGTGGTGCTTTCTGAGCCAAAGACATTGGCAAGGGAAACTGAATGATGTTTGTCTATTGTGTGCAAGCTGAGGGCCACTGGCATATAGTCATGCAATTGCAGGTGAACTCCTTCAAACTAGACCGTCGAGGAACGAACATCCGTTGATCTCCGATCCTTGACTATGATAGAACGGGCCAAGGTTCTTGCTTCTGGCTGACATGTTGCTTACCATTGCACAGCTTTAATATGTTAATGCGCGATTTGTCTTCCAGCGGGCTTCTGTGAGTATCTACAAGGACTCGTACTTTCAGGGTAATGAGGTCGCGAGGAAGGGGCAGCTGCTCTCACTCTATCCAACGGCGTGGGTCCTGGCGCCTCACTTCTGGTATGCGCGTTGACCTTCCGCGATGTTAATACTCTAATTTGCTCTGGGTGTGAGCATGTATTATTGTCGTGTCCGTTCTGGCAGGCGTGGTATTCAAATGTTATTATCTGCATGGATCTTCGTGGTACTCGTATGGGCCCGTGTCGTCATCGCATGCATTCGCCTGCACGTGGATGGATATGCACATGTTCAAACATATTTACGTCTGCGAGTCTGCGTGTCTGTGTGTACTGTATTTGCGCGCATGTCTTAATTCGCGAACGGACGCATGTTTGCACATGTGTGTACGAGCGTATGTACTGTACTTGGCGTGCCTATCACCGTTCGCTGGAGCGAACACTGAGTGCTAGTTTCAAAGTTGCGGCACATCATGCTTGGAGGCCGAGGTTGTTTGGCGTTTTCTTCTTGGAGCGATTTGTGATGTGTCTGCGGTGACATGGCATTATCCCTTGAACGCGTACCATGATGTTTGCCGAGGCGCTCACCGATCATGGAGGAATTGCCGTGATCCTCTGTTTGCTACCACGGTTAAACGTCGCTTCGACCGCTTTGGCGTTCTCTTTTTCACCATCCTCATGTTCTTACACGCCTGGGGAGCATCGTGCGAGCTCTCATTTCAAGGCGTCTGGGCCCACTGCGCCTGTGCAAAGCTTGTGCAGTCACGCACGCTGGTGTCACATGAGTGCTTCGACGAGACGGGCTCGCAGTAGCCTGTTTCACCGATGCCCATGGGCACCGTTGCCCAATCTGTGGGCGCCATCTTGTCCTTGCCCCGCTGGTATTCAATGCGTGCGCTGTTTAAGAGCACTGCCCGGAAGTCGCTGTTGCTTGATGGTATCGGGCGTTTTGTTCAGCAGCGTTGCGATGTCACCTTTTCACGGTCACCTGATTCCGGCCCGTGCGGTCCTACGATGTTGGGATTGGTCATTTGGCCTTTCGTGATTGTGTCTAATGGTTTCGTGGGATTTTCTTTTTGTGCACTATCCTTGGGACAAGTGTGAAAGAGTGTGCAGGTGCATGCGTGTATGTGTCTGCGTGTGTATGTGTATTTGTATGTATGTGCACGCGTGTATGTATGTCTTGCGTGCAGGTGTGTATGTATTTATGTACGTGAGTTGGCGCATGCATCTGCCTATGTGTTGTATGTTTCAGATCGCCTCATGTGCGCATGAAGGAATACATGTGCATAGGTATATGTATACGTGTGTAAGCACTTTCTGTGTGCATGTCTCTGCATGCGTGTCTGTCCATGTTTGTACCTGCGTGTATGTGTTTGCACACTTGCACGTTCGAGTCATGTATATCATGTGTCACTGTAACGTATACATACGTATGTATGTTAGTGTGTCCATGCTGCGTACGTGCTGCATGTGCGTAGTATGTGTATACGTGGTTGTGTGTATATGTCGACGTGCATGTGGTAGTGGTTGGGTGTCTGTGGTGTATTATGTGTATGCCTTTATGTGAGTTGGGCCCTGCTGAGCCCACCTAGGAGCAGCTCTGGGCGACTGGGCGGACCGCGTTGTGCGTGGGGTGCGCACTCAAACGGGACGCCCGCACAATGGACGGAGAATGTGCTCCATCGAAGGCGAACAGAAACAGTGCTTTGCGCCTGAAAACGAGCTGCTCCCACCCGCGAGCCCGAGGCTGGATATTCAGGGAGCACCAGGGCCCTTGGGGTCTGGCGGCCGCGGCATGCAGTCGTCCTTCGTCGAAGACGCGAGGCATCGTACCCAAGGTGCACTGGTGTGCCGTAGGGCCTGGCGGCCGCTGTAGGTAGTGCGTGTGAGGGGGCTCTCTTCCCCCCCCAACCGCCAGTGGGGAAAATTCGAGTCTTTATACGTAAGTGTATATGTCTGTATGCATATATATATATACATACATTTATATATATATGTGTGTGTGGAAGGCTTGAGGGGGCATGTCACGTTCACCATCGCTGCGTCAGTATATCGCTCACAGGGCACCAGTTGCTCGCGATGTGGCGAGAGCCGAAGGGGACACAGTTCGATGGGGACGCGGCTGCCTGCTGCTCGGCCGCTCATGCAGGCCGCTCTGGTGTGCTGGTCTGCGGGAGCCGGCGCGCGGGGGCTGGTGGTGTTCATGCTGACCCCCGCCAGCACCATCGGCAGCGCATAAGCGCTGAAGTTTGTCTCGAACACATAACGCGCGCTAGATCTATTGGAAGGCCGTTCAAACGATGGACTGATTAGAATGTGAGAATGTGAGAACATGAGAATGCGAGAATGCGCGCGCGAGAATGCGAGAAGGCTTGTGGCAGCCCGCACAGGGCGCGCCTCCGCGCACGCCGCTCCTGTCCTGTCCTGTCCATTGCGCGCGCTCTGTGGCCTCCAACCCACCCGCCCACCGAGTAGATAGCAGAACGCCCTCCGCTTCACCCACCCCCGGTGCAGCAGCGCCTGTTGTCTAGCGCACAGGTATGCCCTTCTTAGTTCGCGCGCCACGTGTTATTTTGTGTACCAGCGAACGCACCCACCCACCCGCCCACGCACCCACATAACGCGCGTTATGCGGTTTCAGAAGAACTTGTGCTCGAAGCCTGTCCCCTGGGATGTCCAGTCGAGCGTTGAGGAGTCAATCCGCGCCGCGATGGACCAGGGCAGCGGTGAGCGACCGATTGCCGAAGCAGCTGGCTTCCCAAAGTGCTCAGTGCCAGCCGTCGCACTGAGCAAGCTGGCGGAGTGCACAGGCGTAGCGCGCAGGTCGGGCCGTGGTGCGCGAGAAGCCCACTGGAGTCCAGTTCCGTCGCGGCGACGCGAAGCTCATCGCGCTTCGGGCATCGAGGTCCCCGCCAGAAGCAGCGTGAGAGCGCGAAGACAACCGCGCGTCACCCATGGCGGGGCGCGATGCGCGAAGTTGGGCGACCCAGGGAGTGAACGCGCACCCTGCCGGACTGGGCCTGATTCGGTCGGGCGTCGCCGCGGGCCACTCGCGCACGGCATGTTGCTCCTGCTCCGGATCCTGCGCGATGGCCCTGCGTGCAGTCTGCGTTCCCGCGGGGAACATGTTCGCTCGCTCGAGCGCGCTGATGGTATGCAGGGGCCCTGCTGTCGGCGCCTCCCCCTGCTGGAACCCGACGCCCGTCTCGCGCAGGGTCCCTCGCGTCATCATGCCCCGGTTCCTCTGTCCCATCGGCTGCGCCGATGCGAAGTTTGAGTGCTTTCGAGTCGATGTTTCCCCAACCGGTCTCTGCAGATTGTTGCCTTCACGTTTGTGTGGGCCGATTATCGGGTGGTGGCGCGCTTCCCTCCGCTTCTCCCAATGAGGGCTGGGAGAAACAGTGCCCCTGGGGTCGTTGGTGAACGAGGGGACCCCGACCGACGAGGGGACCCCTCCCTCCAGGGCTGGATACCGCCTGATCCCGGCGCGGAAGCCGGCAACATCGAACAGCCAGGCCAGGTGGGGGCCGCCCCCCCCCGCCCATCACAGCGTACGACCCCCCCTGGACCCTGGCCAGGTTCAGGAGGGGAAAAAACACACAGACACAATTAATCGTCGATTCCCAGGAAGATATGAAAAAAGTATGGGAAACGGGGGGGAAGACAGAAGCCCAGAAACTATGGAGAAATACGGGACATCCTTTTATTTGTGATTATCTATCTTTGCGTCTCAGGGCCCCTGGCCAGGTGCTTCCTGAGCGAGCCGTGCCACATCGCCGCCAGCGGCGTCGGCCTGGGCCAGTTCAGCGCGGTGCTCATCGTGGCAGAGTCCGATTCCTGCGGGGAGGCCCCGGGGCGGGAGCCGGGGGGCCACGCCCCAGAACCGCATTGATCGGGACGACCGACATGGGTACGGAAAGAATGGGTACAATGCCCAACAGCAGTTCTTGCTCATTTTGAACAGGGCTCGCTGTCGGTGTCGCCGCGGCCTGTGTACGTTTGAGACAGAAGGCCGCCTGCCCAACAGCGGGCAGGCCCCGGGGCGGGAGCCGGGGGGGCCACGCCCCGGAACCGCACCGAGACCACCCACGACTTGCCGGAATCGTGGCTGTCCTGATGCGCCCGTGCTGAGACGCGGGGCGTGCCTTGTTCAAAGCGTTCGCGTCGACGCTGCGTGTTGGCTCGGCGCGTGTCGGTCCACGAGGAGGAGGATGAGGAGGAGGTGGATGAACAGGAGGAGGAAGAAGAGGAAGAAAAGGAGGAGGAGGAGGAGCAGGAGGAGAAGAGGGAGGAGGAGGAGGAGAAGAGGGAGGAGGAGGAGGAGGAGGAGGAGGAGGAGGCTTAGTGAACTTGTCGCGCCAGACTTTCGTTTTCTCAGTCTGCGTGTGGAGCGCCGTGCCCACACACCGCGTGTGTTGCCTGAGCGAGAGCGTGATTCCTGAGTGACGAGGACGCGGCCTCTGAACACATCGCAAGGAAGTCACACGCGAGAGAGCGATTCCTGTATACATTTGAGGAAGTCCCGCGCGAGTGCGCGACTTGAGAGTACATTGCGAGGAAGTATTCGGCCAGAGCCGTTGGTGTTGTAGCTGGCGGGCCAACAACACAATATGAACACAAACAATTTCTTGATAAGAACAGGGTGGGAGCCCCGGGGGGGCTCCGTAATGGACAAACGTAATGGGCAGCGGAGGGATCAACAATAATTGTTACCGTTAGTGAGAGTTCAGCAACATCAGTCATTTTAAGGCTGTTCGTTCTTACCTGCTCGCGTGCCACTCAAGACGTATATCCCAGACCCTCGATACCCGCCTTCGCCGTCTTCGATCGTTCCTCCTTCGGGGCATATCTTCCTTACCTGCAATGTGTATTTCGTGCAGCCCCCCAAGCAGGGGAAGAGAGCACGGATGGAAGGACGGGACAAAGGGCAGGGAGAGGGATGGAACACGAGAGCGAGTAGCAGGAGGGGGGCTAGGAGCAGACAGCACGTGGCAGAAACAAACGGGAAGATCGGCCGGGCAGACCCTAACGGGCGCTCCGGGAAGGCGGGCTCAGGCGGCCAGGTCGAGCAGGCGGGCTGTTGAAGCGTGCGTCCTGCAGGAACCGCTTGGAAGTCCGGAGCGATGGCGCGACTCCCAAATAAGGTAAGGTATGCGAAAAGCCGGAGGGAGAGCGTGATTCCTGAGTGACGAGGACGTGGCCTCTGAACACATCGCAAGGAAGTCACACGCGAGAGAGCGATTCCTGTATACATTTTGAGGAAGTCCCGCGCGAGGGCGCGACTGGGGGGAGAGCACGACGGTTCAATTCACACTTCTGAGCCATAATTCTTACTGTTCCCCCCCGGGTGCCCCTCTTGTGCTTTCCAAATAAAAAAGCTCCTGCCGGGGCTCTCACCCTGCCCCTCTCTCGGTCAGTTTAGGTTTTGTTGGTTCTCTCTCTCTCTCTCTCGCTGTTTGTCTCTCGCTCTCGCTCTCGCTCCCCCTTTCTCTGTCTCTGTCTCTGTTTCTGTCTCTCTCTCTCTCTCTTTTTTTTTTTCTCTCTCTCTCTCTCTCTCTCTCTCCCCCTCCTTCTATATATACATCGCTCTTACCCTTTGAGCTGGCCTCAGTCGAGCGTGACGCCGTATGAGGTCTGCAACTCGCCTGAAGAGCAAGCGTCCTCCTCCTCGTGGGACGACGGGGTGAAGTTGACGCCCGCGTCCCTTTTTCCTGCGCCCCTCGCGCGTGATTCTAGGCAAGATCACCTCGCAGACCAGCGCTCCAACCCATCCGACAAAAATCCATGCCCCCCCAGCAGCTGTTTCGGCGAAGATGGGCCTCCTCGTCGTGCTTCCCACCATCTCCTTCTCCCGCTTCTATCCCCTACTTAGCCACCTCCGCACATATCTCCCCCATATTCTCTCTCCATCTCCCCTCTCTCTTCCGTGCCTTCTCCCCAGCGTGTTTCGGCAAGCCATGCCTAACCAGATAGTAGTCAACTCCGTCGCAAACTGGGCCTTACAAGGCAGCTTCAGCGCCGCACGCAACCAATTAGCAAGGCTGGTATATTCGGAAGCCCCTCCGGCCTCCCCACCTGTCTGTATCACCTCCAGCCTTTCTGTTGTCAGGCTTCCTGTCTCAGGTTGTGATGTCCACTGGCCCAGCACTGCTCCCATCCACTCCCGAGCCCAGGCGGGGGCGACTGTCATCAGCTGGAGCGGCATTGACAACCCGAGTGCGACGCTCGGTGCCCTGACGTGCCCTCCGTGGTTTGGGCGTCCCATCCGCGATGGGGAAGAAGAGCAAGATAGGGACTGATAACCGAGAGGCAAAGACCGGCGGTATGATTGTGCATAGTGGTGAACAGTTCACATCCTCCTCATTCTTTATCGTGCCCGACTTCAGGTTCAGTGGCATGCACACACGCACACACGCACACACGCGCACACGCACACGCACACGCACACCTCTGGCGCGCCGATGGTGTGCAGATGACTGTTCAAGCACTGCTGAGGCGGACACGTTCCCACTTTTCTGCTCCTCCGGCGACCGTCGCGAGTGCTAGAATGGGACGCGATCAAACATGATGGATTGCACCCAGCCTTTTGGATGTTGCGCAAGCGGTAACCCGCGAGCTGGCGTGCAGAGCAATTGCATCCAGCATTGTGGGTGAGGGGCAAGCAGTGGACCCGTCTGCTGGTGTGCATGAGGACTGTTCGAGCCCGGGTGTGGAAGAGACGCATCCGATGTTGGAAGGCTCTGGGATGATATCGTCAGGCATCTCGACCCTAACTTTATCCATGGTGTACGTGATTGGACAACCAGTCGGGGTGAGTGGGGCTCATTTTGACAGCGCTGGGATGATCAGAACTTCTATTCTGCGCACGGCGGTCGCCAGAGCCTATGTGTTGTTCGACCTCCTGCGCTGGCCATGTGCTGAACACAGCTTCTCCGAGGGTTCAGAGCAGCCCCTGGCTTGGAGGGGCACCCCCACGCTCTTGGGACTGCTTGGGCCTTGCGCCCTGGCATTTCAGGAGGGCAAAAGCACACAGACACAATTCATCGTCGATCCTCCGGAAAATATGGGACGATATGGGAAGTGGGGGGGAAGACAAGAACCCAGAAAAGATGGACAAATATGGGGAATCTTGTTATCTGTATGTCTTTATTTGTGTGTGTCCCTGGGCCCCTTCGGGCATGTCTTTCGCCTGAAGTCAGGCCTGTCCCTCTACCGGGGGAATCTTCCCAAACAGTGAAACATAGCCTGGGGACTATTTTGGGGGGCATTTGTTGACCAGTTTGGAGCATGTTTTGAGCATGTCTTAAAAACCAAAAATCGTCGAACATCCCCCCTGTAATGTTTTGACCATTTGGGAGTCCTTTTTGGGCACTTTTTAAATTGTGCCTCGAAAGTCCCCCCTGCAGGGAGGCACGCCCGCCTTCACTTCCGCCCCGGGCACCTCCCCGCGAGCATGTTGTAATGTTTCCTAGAAAACCCCCCTGTGGAGGGGGCCACGCCCGCCTTCACTGTTGCCCCAGGCACCTCCGCGAGGCTCTCTCTCTGTTGGCCTCCCGCGGCGGGGCGCCCTCTCCGCGCCCCCTTTCGACCCCGCCGCCGCCCGCCCTCCGGGCGGGCCCCCGCCGCGCGGCCGGCGCCCCGCCGCGGTGGACCCGCCATCGGCCGCCCGAGAGGCGCGGCGCGCCGAGCGCCCGCCGCCCGCGGGAGGCGCCTCGCGCTTCCTTTTTTTACTCGGAGCGTGAATTACCTACCCCGCTTTCGCTTCCAGGCGAAACCAAGCCATACCACGCGCCTCCTCGTCAAGCGGCCTGACCAGTACGGGCTGCAATTTGGCATCGTTTGGTATCTCGTGGAAGCGAGGGTGGTCAAACGCGAGGTAGGTTTGTTTCCCCCCTATTTACGTCGGGCCTGTCCCCCTACAGGGGGGGGTTCGACGAAAGATAAGAAGTACTCCAAACATAACCCCCCCAAAAAGGCCAAGCAATACTCCACAAATGCGCCCGTGTTTGATACGCCTCGATACGCCTCGATACGCCGCCGCCCGCGGGAGGCGCCGCGCGCTCTTTTTGTTTGTTTGTTTGTTTTACGTCGGGCCTGTCCCCAATACAGGGGGGTTGTCGACGAAAAATAAGAAGGACTCCAAACATAACCCCCCCAAAAAAGGCCAAGCTTTACTCCAGATGCGCCCGTGTTTGATGCGCCTCGGTACGCCCGCTTTGATACGCCTCGATACGTCCGCTTTGAGGCGCGGCGCGCCGAGCGCCCGCCGCCCGCGGGAGGCGCCGCGCGCTCTTTTTGTTGTTGTTGTTTGTTTTACGTCGGGCCTGTCCCCAATACAGGGGGATTTTCGACGAAAAATAAGAAGGACTCCAAACATAACCCCCAAAAAAGGTCAAACAATACTCCAAATGCGCCCGTGTTTGATACGCCTCGATACGCCTCGATACGCCGCCGCCCGCGGGAGGCGCCTCGCGCTTTTTTTTGTCGTTTTACGTCGGGCCTGTCCCCCTACAGGGGGATCTTCGACTCGGGGGTGGACAGACCTCCTACCCTGACACGTCGATTCAGGAATGGGCCGTTTTGCTTCGCGGTAGGGCGCCGCGGCCGTCATTTTTGTGGGTCCAGGTCCGTCGGTTTCGGCCCCAGGCCGTTTTCATCAAGGGGAGGTCTACTAAAGGGAGCTTTGGCCACCGCCGATCGACGAGCAAAAAAGAAGTACTCCAAACATACCCCCACAAGATTCAAGACATGCTCAACATGCGCCCGTGCTTGATACGCCTCGCTGCGCCCGCTTTCATGCGCAGTACGTGCCGTGTCCAAGACGTCCGCGTCAGCTCGTGTTGCGTGCTGGCACCACGCCGAGAGCCCGCCGCTCGAGGGCGGCGCCTCTCGCGCTCGGCTGCCTCGCTACGCCGCCCGCCTTGATGCGCAGTGCGTGCCGTGTCCAAGACGTCCGCGTCGGCACGTGCTGCGTGCTGGCTCCGCGCGCTGGGCCACGTGTCGGCCCCGCCGCTCTCCGCGGGCCCGCCTCGCGGCCGCACCGCCGCCGTTGACCCCCGGGCCGCCCGAGAGGCGCGGCTCGCCGAGCGCCCGCCGCTCGAGGGAGGCGCCTCACGCTCGGCTGCCTCGCTGCGCCCGCCTTGATGCTGCAGTGCGTCCCGTGCTCGAGGCGTCCGCGTCGGTACGTGTTGCGTGCTGGCTCCGCGTAATGGAGGATGACGATTCATGGATGACCGGGGGTCGTGTTGACGCGGCGGCGCCCGGGATGACGATTAGAAGAAGCCGGCCGCGGGCTGGAACACTATTCTTGAAACGTTTTCCTCCAGTCAGAAAATTATGCAACAATAGCAGAAAACTATTATTTTCATCGTTCTCTCCAATTTTTGTATTAATCGTCATCCCGCATTACGGGGCCACGTTTTGGCGCGTGCGTCGCGTCGGGCCTGCGTCTTCGGCCCACGTGTGGAGCTCCGTGTCATTACGCTGCGCGTTGCGTGCTGCGCATCGGGGCAGCGAAGCACGCACGGTTTTTTTTCTGTTGACGTCGGCGGCGGGGCAGGGGGTCGTCTGTCAGGAGGGGAAGAAGCACACAGACACAACGAATCGTCGATTCCCCTGGGAAAATGTGGGGAAGTATGGGAAGTGGGGGGGGAAGGCGAACATCCAAAAAGGGTGGTACTCTATGGGGGATCCTTTTAGTTGTGTCCATTTATCTGTGTGTCCCAGGGCCCATTTTAGTCTGCGCTGGCGGACAGAGCGACAACGGAGACCCCGTGGAAGGGACTTGTGGCTACATCCGCGCGCAGCGCTAAAAGTTTTTTTTTTTTTTTTTTTTGTTATCGTTTTTCTGTTCATGCCGCCACCCCTCAGCCCCAAGGGCGCCCTCGGGGGCGCGAAGTTATATGCGCGCTCCGCGCTTCGCGCTTCGGCCCCGATTCCTCCTCCTCCTCCTCCTCCTCCTCCTCCTCTCCCCCGGGAGGCGGCGCGAGAGCGCGAAGTCTATTCGCACTTCGCGCTCTCGCGCAGCGCGAGGCGCGAAGCCGAAGCCGGGCCTGTTCCTCCTGCAGGGGGAATGTTCAAAAACAGTGCACAGATAGTCTGGGGACGAGTTTTCAAACCAACTATCTTGGAGCATGTTTGGAGTATGGTTTGGCTACTTGTTGCCCACAATCCCCCTGTAGGGGGGCGGGTCCGACCTATAAAGGTACTGCAATGGCTCCCACCCTTACCCCTCCTTGCCCATTTCGGGCACAGGCAGGAGGGCGTAGGCACCGATCATGGGCTCGGGATGGGCCCGGCCAGAATCGGTGTATGTGCATAGTTCTCTTTTCCTATTTCGTTGATGTGTCCCGGCTTTACTCTTGAGTCGGGCCAGTCCCTCTACAGGGGCACTATACTCAAAAATAGTCCAAAAATAGTCAGGCGACGATTTGTTGAACATTTTTTTTTTTACCATTTTGAGGCATGTTGTGGGTATTTTTCATTTTTTTTTGTAAGAAATCCCCTTGTAGGGGGACAGGCCCGACCTAGCTTTACTCTGGGCCCTCTCTACTCTTTCTTCCTCTTCTGAACTCCCTGCTCCCTGCTCCCTGCGCCCTCTCTCCTGACCTCTTCCCTGTTACTTGCTCCCTCCTCCCTTCCTCCCCTCTTACCTGCTCTCTCCTCCCTTTGTCCTCCCTTCTCCCTGCCTCGGCGCTTCCTCCCCTTCTTTTCCTCGCTCTCTCCTGCTCCTCCTCTCCTCCTCCTCCTCCTCCTCCTCCTCGTCCTCCTCCGCCTCCTCCTCCTCCTCCTCCTCCTCTTCCTGCTTCTCTTCCCGCCTTGTCCCCCCCTGCAAGGTACTACGACGCAGGGATGGGCTCCTCCGGCAGCCCAGGAAGCCACAAGGTGCGCATGGGTATGAATTCAGTTGAACCAATGATGAGGCAATCCGGGCGAGTCGACAATTCTTGCAGAGAGCACCGTCGCACCTGCTGGGCGAGCATCAGACCCCATATGTAATGCCTCGCCCCCACCGTCTAGGAGGATCACGTTGCGTCTTCGGGGGACCTCGCCTGCCCTCAAACGTGGTTTTTTCTTGTGCTCGACGCGGGCTCGATGCGGACTCGCCGCGGACTTGGCGTGGATTCGACTCGGATTCGACACGGATTCGACGCGGATAGGGCCGCGACGGAACAGACGAGGTCCCCCGAGGATGCAACAGAAGGGGAGGGGGGGGTGAAGGAGATCGGTGGTGCCCAGCAAGAGGGTCGGGAGTGGGGGGGATTGAAGGAGATCGGTGGGGCCCAGCAAGAGGGTCGGGGGGACGAGCACGAGTGTGAGAGGGAGGGGGGGGGGGCGAGCACGAGGCAAGCCATGAGCGGGAGAGCTGCCGGGTCGCACAGCGGGGTGCGGTGGTGCGGCGACCAGCTGCGCGGACAGTGGCCGCAGGCCCGGTCGTCGATCCGCGAGGTGCCAAAAGGGCGCAGCTCGAAAGGCCGACGTCCTCCGGCGCAGCGCCGGGGAGCAGTGCGCGCCTGGAGGGCGAGCGCAGCGGCGTCCGGCGGCGCTGCTGCCCCCGGCCAGGTGCTGGACGCGCGAGGCTGGTGTCGGGCCGGACGAAAGGGGGGGATTGGGAAAGGGGGGGTTACGAAATTTGCGGCATGCAGCTGGTTTCGGCCTCACAGAGGGGCCCATTCCTCGATACATAGTCGCCTCCTCCCGAGCTGATTCTCAAACCCCCCTTTGCTATCCCCCCCCTTTCGCCCGACCCGATGGTGGCCGACGTCGTCGGCCACGGCGCCCGGAGCAGCGCGCGCGGCGCGCGACAGAGAGCGCGGCGGCGGCCGCCAATGCCCCGCCGACGGCGCTCGGCGGCGAGGTGCGGGGCGCGCGCGGGCGGCGGCGGCAGCGGGGAGCCCCGCGCGGCGTGCGAGGCGCGAGCGGGCAGCAGGGGCAGCGGGTGCGCGCTCCCTCGGCGGGCCAGGGAGCGGGCCCTCGGGAGCTGCCCCCCCCGTCCCCCCCCCCCCCCTTGTAAAACAGGGCTAGGATCGTGATAGATCGCTCCAGAGCGTTCCGGAGCGCTCTCAGAGCGTTCCGGAACGCTCTGGAGCGGCCGCGGCGCCCAAGACATCCTCCAGGCCCGCCGATTCTCAGAGATTTCGAGTTATCCCGATCCGATTTTGTCCCGATCTTCGCGTCGTTTTACCTTGCGGCCCCCCTTCAGCCGCGCGCAGAGGGGGGCGCAAGGGGGGAGGGGGTGGGGGGGGGGAAGGCTTCTTAGCAGCACCCCTGCTGCCCTCTTAGAAGCCGCGGGCCTCATCTGATATATGTGTGTATATATATAGAGAGAGAGAGAGAGAGAGAAAAAAAAAAAGAGACGTAAGACTGGCGCCCAGTCAGAAGCAGCCTTTTTTAAGAAGCCCCCTCCCCCTGCCCCCCCTTCTGTGCGGTAGCCAGTCATGGGAGCCTGGCGTACCCTGTTCGTTTTGTTATCAGCGTCGACTAGCGTCGATTAGCGGCTAATCGACGCTAGTCGACGTTAATCATTAGCGACTGGGAGTCGATGAGGTAGCGTCGATTTAGCGTCGGCTAGCGTCGGCTAGCGTCGATTAGCGCCGAGTCAGCCTCGATGAGCGTCGACTATCGTCGATTAGCATCGATTCGCAAGACTCGACAAGATGGTATGGGAGGCTCCCGCGAATTGCCACCGAACTTGTGCGCGCCGCCAACCCCCAGTGTGGCACCGCGGCGCCATGCCCCCGGAGGCCTGCAGAGAATAGCGAGGCCAGGCCTGCCGTCGGCGACCAGGAGGTCCGCACGGCGGGAGGGTCGCGCAGGGGTGCGAGGTGGCAGCGGGGCTCGGTCAGCGACCTGGGCGGGTCGGCCGGCGAGGTGGCGATTCGGGGAGGGCGGGGAAGGAGAGAGAGAGAGAGAGGGAGGACGGAGTGATTGGCGAGGAGGAGGAGGAGGAGGAGGAGGAGGAGGAGGAGGAGGAAGAGGAGCAGGAGGAGGAGCAGGAGGAGGAGGAGGAGGAGGACGGGGGTGAATGGGGGGGTGAAGAGCAGGGTGGCAAAGATGAAGAGGAGGAGGAGGAGGAGGAGGAGGAGGATGAGGAGGAGGAGCAGGAGCAGGAGGAAGAGCAGGAGGACGGGGGTGAAGGGGGGGTGAAGAGCAGGGTGGCAAAGATGAAGAGGAGGAGGAGGAGGAGGAGGAGCAAGAGGAGCAAGAGGAGCAGGAGGAGCAGGAAGAGGAGCAGGAGGAGAGAATGCATGGAAAGGAGACGGAGCAAGGGAAGGAGGAGGAGGAGGAGGGAAGCGAAGGAGGAGGCGGCGGAGGGAGACGACGATAACGAGAGGGATCACCTGCGAGGTCTGCTGGGGCGCGAGCCCGGGCGGGCTGGGCAGCGAGGCCTACAACGTGCTGATCGGAGAGCGGCCCGCCTGCAGAAAACTCCACCCCCCTGTTTCGCGGCTGTGCCCCCAGACGCGAGCTTGATTCGCAGGCGATTTCTCTCCCCAATCTCCGAGTTTTGCGCCCGAAAAATCTGGCCGCTCAGAAAAGAGGGGGGTTCTCTGGGATACGCCCCCACGGGGGCTAATTACTCGGACGCACCCCTATCGGGGATGAGCGCCCCTCCACCATCGCATCTCCAAGGGTTGTGCCTCAGAAGCCCGAAGCCCGCGGGGTTTGATCCACTCGAGGGGGGTTTGGGCCTCAGAGGGTTGGGCCTCCAAGGGTTTTATCCACTCGAGAACACCACGCGAAGCCCGGGCCCTCCCCGCGGGGCCGCTTCGGGCCCCAGGGGCCCGCAGGACGCAGCCCCACGGCGCGCGATCCACACGAAAGCTCGGGCCGTCCGCCTCCGTCGCCGCGCCGTTGTTGCCCCGACGCGCGGCCTGACGTCTCACAGGGAGGGTGCCTCGGCCACCAGGGCAAGCTCCGCCTTGAGCGCGGTGGGCTCGCCGTGGGGCTCGCCGCGGTGCTGGCTTCGTCTGCTTGCGCGCGGTGCGCGCGATCCGTCCGACAGCTTTTGTCGACGGCGCGTCGCCGGGGACGCGCCGGCTGTCCTCGACGCGCCCAGGGGGACGGCGCCGACGCCGCGGCACGCCCGCGGCAGGCCCCGCGTCCGGCCCGCGCCCGGGGGGGGACGGCGCCGGCACCGCGGCAGAGCAGAGGCAAGCCCACCGCGCTCGAGGCGCGTCGAGAACAACCGGCGCGGCTCCGGCGACGTGCCGTCGACAAAAGCTGTCGTACGGATCGCGCGCACCGCGCGCGAGCAGACGAAGCCAGCACCGCGGCGAGCCCCACGGCGAGCCCACCGCGCTCGAGGCGGAGCTTGCCCTGGTGGCCGAGGCACCCTCCCCATGAGACGTCAGGCCGCGCGTCGGGGCAACCGGCGCGGCGACACCGTCGGGCGGGTGCGAATGGGGGGGGGGCCCAAGTTGGGGGGAAGAGCATGGCCCCAAAGAGGCACTCCAGAGGGCTCCTTTGGGGCCCCTGCCGGCTCCAAAGGAGGCCCTCCAGGGCCCCTTCAGGGCTCTGTTCTCCACCCCCCATGTGGGCCACCCCCCATTTGCACCCGCCCGACGCCGAGGGCGGAGGTAGCCCAAGATCGAAAGCCTCAGCCGGTGTCAGCAGCCAGGGCCTGTCCCTCCAGGCAGGACCCCCTCCCGTGTGCACCCATGCATCGGTCGTGGCCTGTCCTTGGGGGTGCCCAGCATCGGCGCAGGTGCGCTCTTGGCCACGCTGTGTGGGGGCACGCTGTAGTCTGCAGTCGGGCCTGTCCCTCTACAGGAGGACTGTTCAAACATAGTCAATACATCGTCCGGGGACGATTTCTCATCCTCTTTCGATTGTGTGTTGATTCGTTGTTGTGCATGTTTCTGTTTCTTCCAAACTCCGGCTGTAGGAGGACATGCCTGACCTAACAGCAGCTTGCATCAGCACCTCGCGCTCTCGCTCGTCGTTGGGCTTGCGCACATCATGCCTTATTTCGAGACGATCGAAATGGGTACGGAAAGAATGGGCGCAACGACCTACAGTATTCCTTGCTCATGTTGGATAGGATTCATTGTCGGTGCCGCCGCCAGCCTTGTCCATTTGAGACAGGAGGCCGCCTGCCCATCAGCGACCGTTGTCGGTTTTGGACAACATTTGTTGTTGGGCATCGTACCCTTAAGTCGGGCGTGTCCCCCTACAGGGGGATTTTCGACGAAAAATGAAAATACCCCAAAAATGCCCCAAGGAGGTCAAACAATATCCAAAAAGTAGTCCCAAGACTAGTTTGGGATTTTGTTTGATCATGTTTGGGGTATCTTTCATTTTTCGTCGAAAATCCCCCTGTAGGGGGACAGGCCCGACTTAATCGTACCCATGTTTTCCGTACCTCTTTCGGGCGTTCGACCCGTTGTTTGTGCCCCTGCCGATGCGCTCGCTCGTGCGCACCTCTCGCCGCCGGAGCCTGCCGCGAGGACTACCCCGGGCTGGCCCGAGGGGTTGCGCGCGTCGGCCTCTCGAGGCCACCGCCCGGGCTGCCCCCGTGGACCTCTCGACCCCTCGGGCGCCCCTCTCCGGCCACGGGGCCCTCTGGGGGCGCAGCCTTCCCCCTTCGCGCTCCGCCTCCGCCGCCTCTCGCCATCTTCCCCCGTCGCCCCTGCGGGCGAGCGCCACCGAGCCGGCGGCATCCACCTTCCACGAGTGGGCAGGAGAGCACCATCGGGCACACAACGGACGCACGTGGTGTGAGGCATTCGCTCCGAAGCCACATCTCCTCCATCTCCTCCTCCATCTCCTCCTCCTCCTCCTCCTCCTCCTCCTCCTCCTCCTCCTTATCCTCCTCCTCCTCCTCCTCCTCCTTATCCTCCTCCTCCTTCTCCTCCTCTTTCTTCTTTTCCTCCTCCTCCTCCTCCTCCTCCTCCTGGCCAGGCCCATCCTTGTCGGGGCTCAAGAGACGGGGGTCGATGCAGACGGGGGTCAGCCAGGGCGCCAGATCCTGCAGGATCCTGCGAAGACCCCCTCTGGCTGACCCGGGTTAGCGAGCCGCTCGTGGCCGCGAGGCGGCCGCTCGTATTGGCTGACCCGGGTTTGCGAAGACCTGCGTTGCAGTTTTTTTCCTGCATTGCAGTTTTTGGTTTCCTGCTGACCCGGGTCTGGATTGACCCGGGTCGGACGATCCCCGACCTTGACCCCAGGATCGGTGCATATGCTTTCCTGGCCAAGGTGGGAGGGCGTGTGCACCGATCCTGGGCTCGGCATAGGCCGGGCCAGGATCGGTGCATGTGCATAGGTCTTTTTCCTCGAGAGGCAGTGACAGGTCGGTCTCAGACGGGAGACCTGGCCACGACGAAACGATACGGCGAGAAGGACCAGATCAGAGGGCATAGGCTCTCATAGGGGAACACAACGTGACATAAACATAAAACTCGGAGGTCCGCGCGGATTTCTCGGATCCGCGCTGGGCCCCCCTGGCGGCGCCTCCGGCGCCGCCCCTGGCGCGCTCCGCGCGCTAGGGAAGGGGGTCCAGCGCGGATCCGAGAAATCCGCGCGGACCTCCGAGTTTTATGTTTATGTCATTCTTCGTTCCCCTATCTCAATCAAGTGAAGGAGGATCGGTCAGGAGCAGGACTTGGTGGAGTTCCTCCACGTCCTCCCTCTGCTGAGATGGTTTTGAGGTCGCCACAGTGCTCCATCCATCTACCCCCTCCAGCAAGCTCACAGGAGTGTTCACGATGAATGGCCCCTACCAGGGCGTGTACCTCACCTGCATGCTGGAGCTCGCGGGATTTGGGTTTGGGCTCACGCGCTGCAGATGTCAGTAATTGGCTGCTCGACCTCGCACACACACACACGCACACACACACACATCCACACCCAAACGTGCACACACATTCACACACACTCACACACATTCACACACACACATTCACAACTTGACACATTCACACACATTTACACACATTCGCACACACTCATTCACACACACATCCACACACACTTACATTCACACACACACATTCAAACACATTCACACACATTCACACACAACTTCACACACATGTATTCACACATAAACGCATTCACACACATTCACACACACTCACACACACATTCACACACACATTCACACACATTCACATACATTCACACACACACGCACTCACACACATTCACACACGTACACACATTCACGCACACATTCACGCACACATTCACACATTCACACACGTTCACACACCGGTCATCTTCTGGCCCTCTCCTCCTCGACGCGCGCTCCGTGCAAAGGGAGGGAGCAAGCGCCAGAACGTGCGCTGCCTCTTGGAGGGACGCCGCTCCAGTCCCTCCGTCTTGCGCGTCGGTCGTCGAGTGGACGGGCCAGCCGAGCAGACTACACGACTGCACGAGCAGCAGGCCTCGAGTGGGCTGATGGGTGGGGTCCGAGGAGGTTCTCGCTTTAGGCAGGGTGGGCAGGACGAGGCGAGGCGGGCGGGGCGAGGCAGCGTGGGTATAAGCGATGGGGGCATCGGCGCAGGCCGTCTCCGCGGCCTCAGTCCGTGGGGAGGTGGGCTGTTCGTTCGCTTTGGCTCTCCGTGCTGGGCTCCCGCGCCATCGTGCAGTCTCGCCATGCCGTGGGCGCAGCGAAGGTGAGATCCTCCTCCCGTGGCCCCCCTTCCCTCTTCCTGTGGCCTTCCTCGTGCCCCTCCCGCTTTCCACCAGCCTCCTCCACCATCCTCTTCCCTCCCCCCCTATGAGCGCTTGATAGCTTTGGCTCTCATCCCTGGGCCCTCAGTCGTATGCTTCCATCGTGGGGCACCTGGCAGAGGACGGGTCTGCGTCCACTGCTTTGAACAGCTCAGACTTGAGGCCCCTGTTTGACTCATGTGTCCTGTCCGTTTGAGCCCAAGTGCATCGCTCTTGCTTTCTCATTCATCCACCCCCATCCTTCCTCACACCTAACACCATCCCTCCTCCACTCTCATCCTTCCTCCTTGCTCCTTGCTTCACTCCTTACTCACGGGGCCACTTGTTATCTCATAAACAAGGGTTGGTGGGCTGACATTGGCTGCGTTGGGATCCTGCTCAGCCCATCAGTGCGGGCAGGTTCGGGCCAGGGGGCAGTAAGACGAGGAAGAGGGTGATGATTATGCTGACGCTGCTGCTGCTGATACGGTTGATTTTGTTGTTGATGATGATGATGACGACAATGGTGATGACGATGATGATGATGATGATGATGATGATGATGATGATGATGATGATGATGATGGTGATTATGATGGTGATGATGGTGAGGATGATGGTGATGATGATGATGATGATGATGATGATGATGATGATGATGAGGATTATAATGTTGTTGTCGATGATGCTGATCATGATCATGATGATGACGATGACCATGATGATGCCGCTGATGATGCTGATGATGCTACTGCTGATTATGATGATGATTATGATGATGATGTTGACGACCAGTTGCGATGGTGCTGGTGAGGAGATGGCTGCGAGCTGAGAGCACGAGGATACAGATGAGGATCATGAAGGTGGAGGAGTAGAAGCAGGGGGAGCGGTAGGATGATGATGATAACAAATCTCTGCTCTGCCGGGAAATCTCCGGGGCCCCCCGGGGCCGCCCCGGAGCTTCCTTGGGGCATTCCTGGAGCTTCTGTGGCCCACCCGGAGCTTCCAAAGGGGGGGAATGCGAACCCACATGTCAAGGCCTCCGCCCCAGGAGGACCCCGATACTCCCAAAGCCGGCTCCGGAGGGCGCTCGAGAGTACCCAACGAGGCAACCATCGTTCCTTCCATAATGGGAACTCTTATTTCTAGCACATTCGCTGTTCTCTAATGCGCGCAGCGCCATGCAGCGTCCAAGACGGCCCCAGCAGAGGCCCCCAGGGGAGCCGCAAAGCAGCCCGAGAGGCCCCCAAGAGACCCTCGAGACAGCCCAAGAGAGCTCCAATGACGGCGGCCCAAGAGGCACCCAGGACCTCCCACAACACCTGGGATCGATGTTCTATAATTCCTTGGAAGCGGTTCCAAGTGAATAGAGACAGCGATCCCACTGGGATCGCTTCTCTAGACCCCTGGGAATCCATTCCCAGGGTTTGCCTTCCTGCGCGCGTTCAGTGGCCGCCCAAGACGACGCCAAGAGAGCTCCATCCGCTCCCCCTGGGGGGGGGAGTGCATACACACACGCTTCGAGGCCTCCGCCCCAAGAGGACCCCGAAGGCCGGCAGCAGGCCTCCAAGGACCCCCCCCGAGACGCCCCAAGGCGGCGCCAAGAGGACGCTCAGGAGGGCCCGAAGAGGCAAGCATCGCTCCATTCCTGTAGGGAAACGTAAAACGACGCGAAGATCGGGACAAAGTCGGATCGGGATAACTCGAAATCTCTGAGAATCGGCGGGTTTGGAGGATGTATTGGGCGCCGCGGCCGCTCCAGAGCGTTCCAGAACGCTCTGAGAGCGCTCCGGAACGCTCTGGAGCGATTTATCCCGATCCTAGCCCTGTTTTAAAAGCGCTTATTCCTGGCACATTCGCTGTGCTCGTGTGCGCAGCGTCCCAGGCGGCCCCCGAGGCCCTCAGGAGAGCCCCCCCACGGCCGAGGAGGTCCCCCGAGAGGGCCCCCAGAGCGGCCTGGGCATCGAGGCCTCCGCCCCAAGGGGGACCCCGAAGGCCGCCGGCAGGCCCCCGAAGGACCCCCGAGAGAGGGCCCGCGGTGGCCAGAACGGGCCCCGAGGAGGCCCCGAAAGGCGCCCCAGGCGGCTCTGTTTCCAAGATCGGGTATAGCCAGGACCCCGGGTAAGGGGACCCCGTTCGTGGTAGGGCCCTGGGGCCCCTCCATTGGCTCGGGGGAGAAAAAGATACGGATACGTGTTGTCCCCCTTCGTTTTCGGCCTTTCCTGGTCCTCCTTGGGAATCCTCGTTGTCACCGCTGGATTCGCCTCGAAATTCTGGTCAGAACGCACCCCAAGAGAGGTCCAGGGACAACACGTATCCGTATCTTTCCGCCCCCAACATTGGCCAGATCCACTAAGCCAGGTTTGCCGTAACCGGTGTTTTTCGGGTGACGGCAGTTCCGGTCAGCGGAACGGGGCGGGGGGGGGGCGCCCCCCGGTACACATCACTAAACCAGGTTCCACTAAACCCAGTTCTGCCAACGCCCGACAAGAGGCTGCCCGGAGGTTTCCCCAGAGACACGAGCAGGCGTTCCAGAGGTCTCACACCATCAACCCAGGCAGGATGTGCAGAAGGCCACCAGGAGGATCACACGTGGGCGAGGGGCACGGTGACCCCTCCTCTGTGTGTCCTCCTCCTGATCTTCGTCTTCAAAGACTCCACTTCTCCTTCTGCTCCTGCCTTTCCTTCCCATTCCGCCCTCGTCTTCGTCGCCGTCATGCTCCTGGACTGGTCTCCATTGTCTCGACCTCCAAATCTCCCCCCTCGTCGTCCTCTTCGTCGTCCTTCTCTAGACCTCCGTGCTCAGGGAAGGGCCGTGTACTGAGTGTTTCCATAGCGTGTTCGGATTATCATCATATCCGAAGCCGTCGCCCAACCCTCGGCATCTCACTGCGAGCTGGGATTCCAGAGAACCTGGTCGCGGTCGCGCGCGAAGCGCGCGATGGCTCTCGTGGAAGAGTTCGATGGGGATATCAATTCATTCAAGTCGTACTGATCCTCTGGGCGTGGTGGAAAAGGTTTTTCCCCCGCCGGACTTCGATCCACAGGAATTGAACAGTGCGAAGAATGATCAGGAATTCCACTTTGTGCTGATTTTCTGATGGTTCTCTTATGATGCATGATTCGTTGCACGCTCTCTTGCTCTTCCGAGCGAGACCGTCGTGCACTTTCAGCATCGTGCGTACCCAGAAGAGATGATTTCTTTCCCACCGCATCTGCCAAGCATGAGGTTCTGACGGGCATTCATCGGGCGGGGCTAGGACAATGATCAATCCGTTCCAGAGCGTTCCAGAACGCTCCCAGAGCGTTCCAGAACGCTCCGAGAAAGCCGCGGCGCCCGAGACATCCTCCAGTGCAGCTGGATCTGTGAGATTCTTGATTTACCCTCACCTGATGTTGGTCTCGTTCTGGCTTCGTGTTTCTCCAGCTCTTCCCGAAGACAAGCCTTTCGAAATGGCCTTACGAAATATAAGGCTCCGCTGCGAGGGTCGAGGAAGAAAACAGCATAAACGGAAACTCTCGGCGTTCCGCGCAGATTCTAATATCCGCGCTGGGCCCCCCTGGCGGCGTCTCCGGCGTCACCCCTGGCGCGCTCCGCGCGCCTGGGAGGGGGGTCCAGCGCAGCTCCAATAAATCCCCAAGAGGCCCCCAAGAGGCCCCTAGGAGGCCCCAAAGAGGCCCCCAAGAGGCTTCAAAGAGGCCCCATAGAGCGCTCGAGGGCCGGCGGAATGAGCGAATCGATGAATAATGTCGAAAGCTTACGTTTCTACAGCTTTTTGTTCCTCTGGAGGGGCAGCCCTGCAACCTCGAGATCGGCGGTGTCGGGCTGAGCGGCACGAACTCGCTCCAGCTCGTGTCGGACAGCTGCGGCTCCCCGGGAGGGGGGGGCCGGCGCGCGGGGGGCGGCGTCGGAAGCCCTGCGTGTTGTGGGAGCAGCGTCGTGTGGCCCTCAAGACATCCACGGCTCGAGCCTGCTTGGCAGGTTCGGCTTGTCGTGTGCATGCTTGCTCTGCTGACATCGAAGAAGGCCAATACTTCTGCACTGCTTGCCCGCTTATCACACGAGCAGCATCTATATAGCGTAGAAGGTAATTCCAGTGGTGCTCTCCGCTGGTGTCTCGAAGGTAATTCCAGTGGTGCTCTCCGCTGGTGTCTCGAAGGTAATTCCAGTGGTGCTCTCCGCTGGTGTCTGGAAGCTTGTGGTAGCACACGTGGCACGGAAACAAATGCTTGCTCTGCTGACATCGAAGAAGGAAGAAACGCGATTAACATAAACTTTTGGCGCTCCGCGCGGACTACTTGGCTCCGCGCCGGGCCACCCGAGCGGCGCCTCCGGCGCCGCCCCTGGCGCGCGGATGCAACAAATCCGCGCGGACCTCCAGCAGTTATCTTTATGTAGTTCTTTGTTCCTCTACGTGTGCACGGTTGCTTCGCTGACAGGCGACACCTTGGCTGCATGTTTAGCTTGGACGCGCGTCGGTGGCCTTGGGACAATTTGGTCTCCGAAATGCGTGCCGTCGCACAGCAGGACGCGTGCCGTGGCGCAAGCAGCCCCGGAGTGGCCGCGGACAAAAAGGGGGGACACTCCGACGTCCTGGCCGCGGCCCCGACCCATGAGCCCCCCCGCATACAGGAGGAGGAGGAGCAGGAGGAGGAAGACGCGGAGGAGTAGGAGCAGGAGGAGGAGGAGGACGCGGAGGAGGAGGAGGAGCAGGAGGAGGAGGAGGAGGAAGAAGAGGAGGAAGATGAAAAGGCGGAAGAGGAGGAGGAGGAGGAGGAGGAGGAGGAGGAGGAGGAGGAGGAGGAGGAGGAGCGGGTCGGGTTTTTGTACCTGTCGGACTCGGACCTTCAGGCGGAGGCGTTCCTCGTGGATGCTCGTCGCTGACGGAGACCTTGGGTATCGGGAACGTCGCACAGCTTCCATTGGCTTTCTGCGCTCCCCCAGCTGGGTTCCCGGAGGCGCTCTCCCTTCCGATGCAGGTAGTGAGCGCAAGCGCCGCATGTCTCCGAAGGGGAGGATTCTGACCGTCATCGCGATCAGGCCTGGGAGGTGCAGGGGTATAATCGCGGGGGAAGAGGGGAGGAGAGAATCAACAGGGGGGGAGGGGGGAACGGGTCTGGAGGAGGAGGGGCGATACGATATGCAGAGGTCTACCGCAATGAATCACTCGACCCGGTCTCGTCAATTCTGCCCCAGGACGCTACATGGAAGCTGGAATAAGTTTCTGGGGCCATCCCTTCCACTCTTTCCAGCCCTGGCCAGTCTACCTTTTTTTTGTCCAGCCCTTGCGACCACATCCCTACTGCTTCGGGCTCGCTTGACCCACTCCCAGTTTTGTCCAGCCCTGGCCACTTCCACTTCCACTGATTTTCCAACTTCCACTTGTTCCAGCTTCCCCGTGTGTTTTTGTTTATTCCAGATCTCGTAATAAAAGGGAGGGGGTCTGGACCCTCCAAGACAAGCCCTTTCAGACCTCCCCCGTGGGAGAACCCTCCAAAACATCGTCCCCAGACCCCCCAGGCCCTCCAAGATAGCCTGGAAGACCCCCCCCCCACCGAAATGAGACCCCCCTCCCTTTATTACGAAATCTGGAGTATGTTCCAGGGGGTCGTGCACACGTGGCCGCACTTCCCCCCACGCCGTGCGCAGAGCTCGGGCGCAGCTTTTTGTTGCACCGGCCTGCGCGAGCCTCTCTCTGTCCTGTCCCGGTCTCGGGGCCCGGGACGAGGGGCACGCTCCGAGCCCAGCACGGACCCCTCGCAGACCCGCCTGGCAGCACACCGCGCGCACGGCGCCAGTCCTGCGCCGGCGTGGGCACGTGACACCCGCCTGGAGCATATCCCTATCCCTATGATTGGCATCGCCTCATCTCGATGCCGCTCTTGGGGAATCCCTCCGTTTCTGAGGGCGCATCCCTAAGATTGTCGTCGAGGCTGGTTAACTTAGGGTCAGCGCCTTCGGCTGCGCGCGTCGCTCTCCGCCGGCCCTGGCGCCCGCTGCGCTGCGGCGCGACGCGCCGTCCGCAGCTCGGTGCTCCCCGGCGTGAACGCCCCGAGAGCCGTTCCCAGCTGCCCGCCCCGCGGAGCGGAGTGACACGCGCCATCCGCTCACAGGGCATAGCGTGTCGCCAGGGCCGAGGCGACACGCTGAGCAAAACTTCTCGACCATATTATAGTCTCCCTGCACAGCGTCACTCGCTTGGCGTGGGCCCCCTCCCAGGCTCTGGCGCCACGCAGGTCACCATGGAGGGCATCACCAATCCTAGGCCTGTGACCGACGACGCCACGGACACTCTCTACGCGATGGGGCTGGCGACTTCAGGGATCGGCCCTTTCCGTCCCTCCCTCTCCGCCTCCCCATCCTTCGGCCGCCTCATTATTCCCTTTGCCGCATCGCGGCCCCATCATCATCATCATCATCATCATCATCATCATCATCATCATCATCATCATCATCATCATCATCATCATCATCATCATCATCATCATCATCATCATCATCATCATTATCATTATCATTATCATTATCATTATCATTATCATTATCATTACCATCATTATCATCATCATCATCATCATCAGCATCATCATCATCATCGCCATCGCCATCATCACCATCGTCATCAACATCATCACCATCACCTTATCCTCATCCTCCTCGTCGTCGTCATCGTCGTCGTCATCATCATCACCATCACTATCACCAGCACCAGCTCAGCACCATCATGCACCATCACCACAATCACCATCACCATCACCATCATCATCACCACCACCACCAACATTGCAATTATCATCATCATTAACAACATCTTCACCAGTAGCATCATCACCATCGTCATTATCATCAGCATCATCATGATCATGACAATGATCAGGATCATCATCATCAGCTTCATCATCGTCACCATAACCATCACTATCACCGGCACCAGCACCAGCTCCAGCACCATCACCACCATCACCATCACCATCATCATCAACACCACCGCGGTACGCCCTCGCGGCGGCTTGCCGCGAGGGCGTACCGCGGCCTCGCCGCCCTCGCGGCGACGCGCCTCTGGGGCTGGCTGTCAGCGGCGCGCCAGGCACGCCTGCTGGCCGGCGGTGGGCTCGGAGCCGGTGCTTTCTGGAATGGTTTTCTGCGCGAGGGGGAGACGGCGCTCACCGACGCCGCTTTCGTGGTCATGTTCAGGCGCCGCCTTCTCCTCAACTTGCTGAGCGCCCCGGTGGCGTGCGCCTTCCGTTATTCGGGCGCCGCCGGCGACGAGCGTGCGGGCACGTGCTGTGGGCGACCCCTCGACGTCGTGGGCTTGCATGCCTTGCAGTGCCCTGTTGGGCCACACCGCATACGGCTGCACAACGAGATCGTGCGGACCCTGGCGGAGTGGATCTCATCGCACGGCGGTTACGCCGACCAGGAACGCTGCGTGCCAGAACTTTACCAGCAGGAGGCTGGCGGCGAGCTGCGCGAGGCCCGCTTGGACCTGGTGATCAGTTGGCCGGGCATGCCAGTGCCAGTCTGGGTGGACGTTACGGTCCGCTCCGCCGATCCCTCGGGGCCAGCAGCACGCACGATCGGCCATGCCGCCATTGGCGCTGAGAGGCACAAGCGGGAGCATTACGGCGACGCCGTCGTGCCCTTCGCTGTGGAGGCCGAGGGGCGGCTCGGCCCACAGGCGGACATGGCAGCCGCGGCACGCCGCGTTGCAGTGCTCCCTGGCGAGGCGAGCGGGCGCCTGGGCAGCGACTTCGCGCGGAAGCTCTCGGAGCGGGTGTCAGGTGCCTTGACGGCCCGGATGGCCGACCTTCTGTTGGCCGCGGCAGAGGGCGCTGGCGTGGGGCCGTGGCTGGGGGCGCGCCAGCTGCTGGCGTAGAGGCTGCAGGCTGCTTGCATGTGGCTACCTCGACCTTTCGTTTCCCAGGGGACTTCGCTATCAACAGCATCATCATCGGCATCGTCATCATCATCACCATCATAACCACCGCCACCACTGCAATTACCATCATCATCAGCAGCATCAGCATCATCATCAGCATCAGCATCATCATCAGCATCATCATCATGTTCAGCATCATCAACATCATCAGCACCATCATCAACACCATCATCATCATCACCATCCTCATCATCATCATCATGATCATCATCATCATCATCATCATCATCATCATCATCATCATCATTGTCACCATTATCATCATGATCATTTTCATCGTCATCATCATCACCATCATCATCCTCCTTGTCGTCGTCATCGTCGTCGTCATCATCATCATCATCACCATCACTATCACCAGCACCAACACCAGCTCCAGCAACATCACCACAACCACCATAATCACCAGCATCATCGCCGCCACCAACACCTCAATCATCATCATCATCATCATCATCATTATCATCATAATCATCATCATCGTCTACATCTACACCTTCAGCATCACAATTATCGTCATCATCAGCATCATTAATATCATGACCATGATCAGGATCATCAACATCATCTTCACCATCATCATCATCATCATCGTCGTCGTCGTCATCATCACCATCACGAGCACCATTACCAGCTCCAGCACCATCACCACCATCATCATCACCACCATCATCATCATCCTCATCATCAGCATCGTCATCAGCATCACCATCATAACCACCGCCACCACCGCAATTACCATCATCATCAGCAGCAGCAGCATTAGCATCATCATCGCCATCAGCATCATCAGCATCAGCATCATCATCAGCATCATCAGCATGCTCAGCATCATCAGCATTATCAACATCATCACCATCAGCACCATCTTCATCACCATACTCATCATCAGCACCATCATCTTCATCGTCGTCATCATCACAATGACTATCACCAGCACCAGCTCCAGCACCATCACTTCAATCACCATCATCGTCATCACCATCATCACCACCACCAACAACACCGTAATTATCATTATCACCATCAACGCCTTCACCAGTAGCATCATACTCATCGTCATCATCATAATCATCATGATCATGACCATTAGCAGGATCATCATCAGCACCATCACTATCACCAGCACCAGCACCAGCTCCAGCACCATCACCACCATCACCATCACCATCAACATCAACAGCATCATCATCATCAGCAGCGTCATTATCATCACCATCATCACCACCGCCACCACAGCATCAGCGTCGCCATCAGCATCATCAGCATCAACATCAGCATCATCAGCGTTATGCTCAGCATGAGCAGCATCAGCATCACCATCAACACCATCTCATCCTCATCATCCTCACCATCATCATCATCATCATAAACATCAGCACCAGCATCACCTCCATCTTCATATTCATCTGCATCTTCACCAGCATCAGCATCAGTATCAGCATCATCATCGTCGTCATCGTCATCGTCGTCATCATCACACCAGGGACTGGCCCAGAGTGTGGCCCTCGCGCTTGTGCCGCCCCTCCCCCGCCCCGAGCATCCCGCAGTTGTTCGGCTGCCCGTTGCGACGGTGCCTGCTCCTGCGGCGCGTCGTTGTGCGCGGGCGCGCCCTGTGGCGACCCGCCACGCCCAGCAGCAGGCCCTCGCTCTGCACAGGCTGCTGGCGCCGCTCGCCGCGGTGGGCCACGCCACGGCTGCCGCGGGGGCTGTCGGCGAGCGGCCGGCGCCGCCTGCGCTGCCGACGGTTCCTCGCCGAGCCTGGCCGACGGCTCCGCGGACGTCGTGCAGGTCGTGGCCTCGGGGAACCCGCGCGCGCACGGCCGCACCCGGTGTGCGCTGGGCTGCCGCGGCAGCGGGGGGGCGCGGACAGGCGAGGTGCGCGGAGGCGCGCAGTCCGGACCAAGATGCTGGCGGTGGTTGCGCATCGGCCTGCAGCTCGTCTGCGTCCTCAGCGGGTGCTCGGCATGGATAACCTCCGCGCGCTGGGCGCTGGCGGTTTCAGGTCTCCTCGCACGCGCTGGCAGTGTGTGCTCTGCGTGCCGCGGGGCGCCTCCTCCATCGTAAGGAGGTGGAGGCACGTCGTCGTGGAGTTCGGCATGGACTGCGCGCGCATGGTGCACTACGGCATCCGCTGCACGCTCACGCTGGGCACGGGCTACGGGGCAACGGCAGGCTTTTCGGCGCGTGCTGGCGGCGAATGCTCTTCGTGTGTGGCGTTGTTCTCAGCCTTCGCGGGCTTCTGGAGGTCTCTGCACTTGGCCGTGGTGTACGGCATGGAGTGTGCGCGCATGCTGATCAAGGGTATCGGCACCGTGCTCATGCTCCTGTGGTGTGGGCTCCACGAGCGGGAGAACAGCTAGCCCGCTCGGCCCGCACCGTCGGCGATCTCATGGTCTTCGGCGTCAGCGTCGTCAGCAGGGTGGCCTGCGCGGGCTGGCACGGTCTCCTGCTTCGCGTGGCGCTGGTTCGCCATGCCGTCGTGACGGTCATTCTCGAGGCGCCGCCGGGGGGGGGGCGGGGCCCAGCGCGGATCCAAGAAGTCCGCGCGGAGCGCCAAAAGCTGCCGTGCATGGCGTTTTTGTTCCTCTTCTTCTACGCTCGTGCCGTCCTCAGCTTTGCTAGGCTTCGAGCTGCGTCGCCCTCGTCACGAAGGCCTGGCTAGCTGGCCGCCCGCCCGGGGCCGAGGCGGAGCTGCTGGGAAGGGGGGGCCGCCTGCCCCTCCGCACGGTCTGCTGCAGCATCAGGGCAGCAGCGCAGGATGCCGCGGGGAGTCTCCTGAGGACTGCTGGTTCCTCCTCCTCCTCCTCCTCCTCCTCCTCTTCTCTTCCGCTTCCTCCTCCTCCTCCTCCTCCTTCTCGCTTTCCTTCTCCTCATCCACCTCCCTCTCCTCCTCCTCCTCCTCCTCCTCCTCCTCCTCCTTCTCGTTTTCCTCCTCCTCATCCACCTCCCCCTCCTCCTCTTCCTCCTCCTCCTCCTCCTCCTCCTCCTCCTCTTCCTCCTCATCCTCCTCCTCATCCTCCTCCTCAGCAGCGCGCTTGTCTGCTGGTGTCGCGGCGGCTGCCCCGTGCCTCCCTCTCACGTGAGCCGAAGAGGTGCGTCGAAGTTTGCGCTTATGTTTTCTGTGTTCCCCTAAAGGCACAGTACCCCCCTTCTCGTGTGCAGTCGGTTCTCCGACACAATCTCCCCTGCAGAGATGGCTCGACGTGAGCGCTTGCGGTGAGGCGACTCGGTGTGGGGCAGAGGCAAGGGAGGGCAGCGTTTTATGCAGCTTGTCCACAAAGGCTGTGTGCGGTGCCCTGCTCTGACTCTTATGCTTGCTCTTCTTTTGTTTCATCCCTTTTCGCCTCTTCGCTGGTCTGAATGTCTTGTGCGAGCAACGGCAGTCTTGCCCAAGTGACTGTACACACATGGCGGCTTGTTCTGGGGCACGTTCTGGCCTGTGGCTCCGTCCAGCGCGCCGGAGTGGCTCGCCCGTGTCCTACCTCTTCCCTTTCCTTCTGCCAGAGTCTGGGGCTGCGTGATCCGGTTCGTCCAGCGTGTCGCTGCGCTGCTCTGGACGCGGGTGCCCGAGAGTGCCGCACGAGTCATCCGAGCAACATCCCCCCCCCGTCGCCCGCGGCCCCGGCCCTCCGCCGTCGTGCTTGCTCTGCGGCGCGAGCCCCTGGAGCTCTCGCGCCCCCTCCCTCCGACCCAGGCCTTCGTCGTGGGGCCTCGTGGCGGCCCCGGCGCTCGAAGCGGGCCTTCGGATGTCCAGCGTCGGGGGCCTTGGCCGTCGTGACGAGTCGTGGCTTGCTGGCGGCGCCTCGCTGCCTTGGTCCCCCACTCGCCCTCCCTCCTCGCCGCACCGCTGCTTTCTGGCAAGCTCGCAGACGTCTCCCGTCCCTTCCTCATGCCGCTCCCCCGCACCCCAAATGGCAGGTGACGAGCGGCGGCAGCTACGGGCCGTGCAGGTCGGCGCGGCAAGAGTGGGGGGGGTTGGGGCAGGAGTGGAGGAGGACGAAGGTGAGGGGGAGGAGGAGAGGGAGGAGGAGGAGGAGGAGGGAGGGAGGGAGGGAGGAGGAGGAGGGAGGAGGAGGAGGAGGAGGAGGAGGAGGAGGAGGGAGGAGGGGGAGGAGGGAGGAGGGAGGAGGAGGCAGGAGCAGGAGCAGGAGCAGGAGTTGGAGCAGAAACCAGGAGCAGGAGCAGGAGCAGGAGGAGTTGGAGGAGGAGGAGTTTTGGAGGGAGGAGGAGGGGAGGAGGAGGAGGAGGAGAGCGGGAGGGAGGTAGGGAGGGAGGGAGGGAGGGAGGGAGGGAGGGAGGAGGAGAGGGGAGGAGGAGGAGGAGGAGGAGGAGGAGGGAGGAGGAGGAGGAGGAGGAGAGGACGGGGGGGAGGAGGACGGAGGAGGAGGAGGAGGAGGAGGAGGGAGGAGGAGTAGGAGGAGGAGGAGGAGGAGGAGGAGGTTGTAGGAGTTGGAGGAGGAAGGACGCCCATCGAAAGAGGAGGTGGGGGGATGGATGGATGGATGGATCGATGGAGGGATTTTTGGATTGCGCTCTGCTTCGCCGAGGAGACGGTCAGCTTAGTGCGTCATTTACTAGCTGCTGGCAGAAATACGCGGTATCTAGCAGCACGGGCGCCAAGGTTTTGTGAATCTCCCCGCCCCCGTCCTGACCCCAAATACCCCCAGATGGATCGGAACTGCACGGGGCTGGCACGACTAATGGCCAGCTCGACGTAGCTCTCATTCTGCACCGGAAGGGAAGGATAAAGGGGCAATACCGAGGGGAGGTATGATTCGATCCGAGAGGAGAGAGTCAGACGGGGACGCATGTCCAACACTTCCAGCTCGGTAGGAGGGCAGACCGAGGGGGAGAGTCGCGAGTAGGCTGCCTGACCACTCCGCCCCGACTGAGCTCCTATCAGGCGGTGCCGCACAAGGAACGTGCAACAACAGTTCGTCTTCCTGAGATGGGGAAGGAAAAACTTCTTCGCGCCCTGACGCCCAGAAGCGTAAGTCAAGACGGCGGCGGACAACTGCACAATTATCGCCACGCTAGTCCGAGGGAGGGCGCGGGAGGGCAGAATTGTCACGACAAAAAAGCTCGGCGACGTCCAAGTACCCTCCATCCACCGTCGTGCCACCATCCTCCCAGCCAGTCCTCCACATGTGCAACTATTGGCCAAGCTGGGCCAGGCGCGCATCGACAAGCATATCATCGTGACTGGATGCCTGAGGAGGGGGAGGAGCAGGCACATGCGGGGGGGGGGGGAACATGATGACGAGAGAGAGGGAAATAGGCTGGTACTCAGACCGATCACCCCCTATTCTCGTGAGCGCGAGAAATAGGCCGCGTGGGGCACCACAACGGGAATTAGCACACGGAAAACTGTGCCAAGATAGATGCAGCCGCGCCGAACGACGTACCTGAGCAAGAGGAGGAGAAATCTTCGCACCCTCGCGACGCGGACCGAGGCGGCAGACAGCACGCGGTTATCAAGGCGCCAAGACGGAGGCTTGAGGGGGGGCTCTCTCGCAGCAACCACCCGCGCTGCTACTCCATCTGGAACTCCAGCTGGTGGCTGGCGAGGCCCAGAGGAAGCTGGCGAGGCGAGGAGGATGATCGTGAGGGCAGAGAGCACGAAGGAGTGAAGCTGGCACGCAGGCTTACATCCTCCGGCACTCCTGAACCTCCCCTCCAATCCTCTCTCACTTCACAAGCACAAGTAGCGAGTGTGTAATTATTACATGTCATGAAGCTCGGCGATAAAATATGGCCGCGATAGTCACGTGGAATCAGTGCAAGCTGAGGCAGCCTCGCACACTCGCAGCGCACATAAAGATAAACAACAGCACGGTTATCTCAGCAGGCGCCTCAGAGAGCCTGGCAGACCGTGCGGGAGGAGGAGGAGGAGGAGGAGAAGGAGGGAGATGAGGAGGAGGAGGAGGAGGAGAAGGAGAAGGAGGAGGGAGGAAGGGGGAGGACAAGCAGGAGAAGGAGGAGGAGGAGGAGGAGGAGGAAGAGGAGGAGGAGGAGGAGGAGGAGGAGGAGGAGGAGGAGGAGTTTTTTTTGCAAAGAACGGCAGCCAGGCGCGCACCCAATTCGCGAGAGCAAAAAGGCCGAGCGACAGGCTGGCAGTTGAAAAACACGCGCGAGCTAAACGCCCGCCGTGGGCCACTCGCGGACCCCAGGCCGAGGAGGGAGGCCCTTGCGCAGCCGCAGCAGGGCGGTGAGCTGCGCCTTAGTCAGCGCGAGCGGTCCGTGCTGCGTGGCCTCGCACTCCTCCAAAAGCCGAGCGGGCCTGGAGTCGGCGTAGCGCCCACAAAGGCTGCAAAAAGAAAGGGCGCCTTTGCGCCACAACAGGTGCGAGCCGTGCGGCACATGCCCTGCAATGCCCGAGCCAGGCGGCAAGCGCACTGGGGGATCAGGCATCCCCAATGCGCGAAAAAGCTGCTCGTCGATAGGCGGCAACCCCGAGTACGAGCGCGGCAGCCTGACGCAGACCCGAAGCGCGGGAGCGGCGTCCGCCGCTGGCTCGACCTCAGGCTCGATAGGCCCCACACCGTCCCCCCCCCCGTCCTCGTCGGCCCCGTCCCCTTCCCTCTGATGGCCTCGCTGCTGCTGCTCCACGCAGCAGGGAGGCGGGCTAGGCGGCGGCCATACGGCCGAGCAGGAGGAGCGCAGCAAGTGGAGGGCGCGGCTCTGACAGCGCCTGACCGGTCGGCCACAACGCTTGCAGCGCCAGCCGAAAGCAGTCGAGGCAAAGGCATGCTGAGAGCTGGCCGCGAAGCCCGAAAGCAGCTCCTCCCTCCTCAGAGCCCTGGAGACCTTGGGTTTCGTAACCACACGGCCAGGGCTCTTGGGGGCGGAGGCGGCGGCAGCACAGAGAGAGGCATTGCGGAGCAGGATGGCCTCGGCCTGCTCCACAAGATCCAAAGCGCGGCGGGCAACGTCAGGATCAAGCTGGGCCTCCTCAGCCCGCACCTCGGCGAGCCCATCGGCCACTGCGTTGAGAAAAATAGCCTCGGGCGGAACAGACTGGCCGAGGCGAGCTAGCTTAGCGGGGTCCTCGGCAAGATGCGAGGGCACATGCAGGAGCGAGAAGCGGCCATCGCGGGCGTCTAGCAGCGAGAAGAGATCGTGCCAGAGGTCCGCGTGCTCGCGCTTGTAGCAGTGGCGGCGTCCGCGCGCGATCGCCTTCACGTGATTCACGTGGTCGGAGTAGAGCTTGAAATCGGCAGCTGGGTGGACGGCCCTGACGCACTCAACAATGGCCAGGAGCTCGGCGCGAGGCACCGTTTGCACAGGACCGTCCACCACGCCCGTACAGCCTGAGTCCCAGTCGAGACCTTGGCCGTCGTCTAGGCGAGCGAAGCTCCACGCCACGCGGCGTAGCAAGGGCTGAGACGACCAGGCACCGCCTGCGCCGTCGGTAGCGTAAATCCCCCCTGGCAGCGCCCCTTCACCGCAGCGCAGCCACCGATGGCCTCGCTCGTCGGGGGGCGGCGGGAGGTTCAGCCAGGCGAGGGGCACAAGCCCGCGGCACCAGAAAACAGGGAAACGGTCGATCTCCTCCGAAGCCTGACTGCGGAGGTGGTTGGAGGAGACCACGGCCTCAGGAGGAGGAGGCACACCTACCGAGCGCGCCCAGTCCCTCTCCATGGAGTTGCACGTGCATTCCCAGAAACGGTGGCGGCTAGATTCTCGGGAGCGGTGGCAGCGCTGGCACAGGTCGTCCGTGCGGTAGCCAGCCTGGAAACGGCGCTCCTCCGTCCAGTAGCCAGCACAAGCAACTAGGCGGACGAGGCTGGCGAGACTGTGCTGGGACTCCTTCTCCAGCCGCTCAGCCAGGGCAGGCACATGCTGCCACCAAACTCCCTCCTCCGCCCCACCCCCATCAAGATGCTTGGCCGCCTGGCGCCAGACCGCGTTCTCAGCGGTCTGCTCAAAGGCCGCGAGGAGGCTGGTGACGGGGGCGACGGTGGTGGCGAAGAGCTCCCACTCCTGCCCGTCTGGCTCTACCAGCTTGGACAGGGAAGGGCACTGCCAGCCAGCCGACAGGACAGAGGCCTGAAAGGCCGCAAGAGGGCCACGCACGAAGTTCCAGCCGCGCGCCACACGCTCAAGGGACGCGTCCCATCCGCGCTGGACCTTCGCAGCTAGGCCTTCCTCTCCAAGGACACGGGAGTAGAAAGCACCTACGATGTGCCGCAGGTACCAGATGGGCGGGTCGCGCCGCGCCCCAAAGGTGATGCGGATGGCCACAGTAGCGCACGTGCCGCGCTGAGGACACTTGCTGGCAAGCCGAGCCTGACCACGGAGCTGCTTCAGCATGGTCGGCGCCAGCCCGTGCACCTCAGGCGCCCACACCGCCTTCGGCAGGGCGTTGGAGACATACAGGCGAGAGGCTCGCGGCGCGGACTTGACCAGACCCGAAATCTTGAGAGCGGCGCGCCTGCCCTTCATGAAACGCTTCTTGCGCACCTTCACGGAGCGCGAGGAACCGAAAGTGGTGTCGTGGCCGAGGTCGCGGGCAACACGAACAGTACTGGGGCCCCCAGCCCCGACCTCGGCCGCCGACGCCCACGCGGGCAGCAAGGCGCGAATGGCAGCGGAAGAGGCCATGAGGCCGCACTTCCCCTGGGAGAACTCGCAGCGCAGCCTGCGCAAGCCCGTAAAGAGGGCGCGCAGCACAACTGGAAAGGCCAAGCTGAGCGTGTGCTCAGTGCCGAACAGGCGGAAGGCGAGATCGTCGATCCACTCCCTCAGGCGCAAGCCAGGCACCGAGGAGTGGGCCGCCTTCAGCGGGGCGTGCAAGTAGGCGCGCGCCTGCGAGACAGCTTGGCCGCAGCCAGCGAGGATGCCTCCGCCAGGCAGGATACCAGTGTGCACCTGGCGCTGGAGGGTGAGGAGACGAGGGCCGAGGTAGACGTCGAGGGCGAGAGCGAGGAGGCGAAGAGGGTCGCCTAAGTCCTGGGCCGCCGCCGCCAAGTCAGGCAGGGACACCAGGTCGTAAAACTTCCGAAGGTCGAGCAGACCGCCCGCGACCTCGAAACCTCCCAAGATCGCAAGCTCCCCCTCCAACTCGTCCATCCACCCCGCGTGTTCGGCCGAGCCGCCTACGGTCCTGTCCCAGGCCCCGTGCTGGTCACGGTCCCAGGCGCCTATCACTGGCTTCCTAATGCGGCAGAGCAGCACATAACTGAAATTGAGCAGGGCGATGGGCCTCAAGCCTCCATCCTCCTTGTCCAGCAAAGCGATGAGGTTGAACAGCTCTTGAAAAGGCACCGTGGCCTCACGCTCGATGGCAGTCAAAAGGGCCGCGAGCGCGGCGATAGCTGCATGCGGCGCATCCTTGACCAGGCGAGGCGGCATCATGTCAATCCCCCTCCCCCGACGATCAGGAACGGTCTTTAACGCGTCCCTCACCTGGCCAGGAGAAACAGGCTCGGAGCAGGCTGACGACAAAGCAGCACGGCGGATCCTAGCGAGGGCCTCCAGCGCCTCGGGCCGCGAGTGCTTGCACCAGATGGCATGCCACGAGGCCCCTTCCGCCTCCAGAACGGCAGAAGGCGTGGAGGCAGGCTCTCCATCCCAGACAGGCTCGGCGCGACAGGGCGGGGGCGAATCGCGGAGGAGCCTATGTGCCTTGCTAGCGGAGCCCGCCAAAGCATCGGACAGCCAGGAGCGCCAGCGCGCACGGGCCGCCGCAGCCGCGCGCTGGGCGGCCTGGTCTCCCTGCTCCTTAGCCTCCTCCGCGATTTGCTGAAGGCTGTCGAGCGACAGCGAGCGAAGCTGACGGAGCCAAGAGATCCAACGCCCAAGGATCGCTTCCTCCACCGCATCGCTCGGATCGATAGGCGGGGGCAGCTGCAGGGCCTCCAGCCCGCGCATCGTGCTCCAAAACTGCTCGCCACAGCGGGCGCGCGGCGTGGGCGGCTCGGAGGGGTCCGCCTCAGGATCAGCCAGACGCAGAAGCAAAGAGGCCTGCACAGCGAGGGCCTGCCAAAAACGGGCATGGCGATCTGCGAGAGGAGGGCCGTCGCTAGCACGCGGCACAATGGGAGCGTACTTGAGGCGTGGCTGCTGGCACCGTCCTACGTACAGGGGCCACTGCGAGCGGGGGATTCCTTTTTTAGCACAGTGCACGAACTCAAGAGCTAAGGCCCACTCCCCAAGCTGGCTACCGAGCGAGAGGGCAGTCTGCGGCACATCGTGGTCGGCAATGGCGAGGCTGGCCGCCTCAAAATTAGAAGTAAAACGGGCAGAGAAGCGCTGGCGAAAAGCTCGAGCCTCAGAGAGGGCGTCGTCCCAGTCCAGGACGTAGCCCGCGTTGGAGTCGCCAAAGATGTCCAGCGCCTTCGGCATGACCACGCACCAGCCCATGAACGACCGCGGGTTGGCCAGGATGTTGTAGGAGAGCGCGAGGTGAGTGCCCCACGGGGCCGAGGCGTCGACCCCTGCGAACTGCACAGCCGACGCGAAAGAGGACGAGACCAAGGCGTAGTCGATGGCACGCCCCGCGCCCCTGCCACTAGTACACGTGACCTGCAAACCCGACTGCACCTCGACCAGGCCAAGCGCCGCCATGAAGCCTGTCGTCGCTAACTCGCTGGACAAAGACTGCCAGTCACCGACGATGAAGAGAGGGCCCGCCAGCTGGCCGAGCCGAGCGCCCACTTGAGAAAGCAACTTGAGGTTGCGGCCGCCCAGCTCCTCGCCCGAGACCGCGTAGATCGGAACGATGGTGAGCGTGACGTGGCGCAGCCTGAGGGTGGCCACGCACCAGCGCGAGCAGGAACTCGCAGTCCAGCCTCCGTTCGCCTCGAGAGGAGGAGGAGGCGGAGGAGGAGAAGGAGGAGGAGGAGGAGGAGGAGGAGGAGGAGGAGGGGAGGAGGAGGAGGAGGAGGAGGAGGAGGAGGCGGAGGAGGAGGAGGAGGAGGGGGGATAAGCCGCCTGCCCGAGCGATCGTCGCGAGTGCGCCCGCTCGCGGCGGCGGCCAGGCGCGGCGTCCGGCAAGGGTGGCCGAGGAGCCAGCGATGTTTCCTGCGGCCACGAGGTGCTGCCAGCGCACCCCTGGCGCCTCCTGCCAGGTCGCCGAGGGCTGCCCGACCGCGTGGCAGCCCAGGACATCGGCATCCTCATCAGCCCTCCGTGCGAGGGAGATCGCTACCTTTGGGCCCACGGCGGCCAGGAGGGCGGCTCGGCGCAGCAGAGGCGCAGCGTGCGAGGCGGCTTTGAACAACCACATGAGAAGTCTCACCACCAGAGAGGGGATGAGCGCCGACACCAAGTGCATTGTCATAGAGATCCCCACCAGCAGGAGCTCGACACCGACCCCGTCCCGTCCACCGGGCAACTGGGCCAGCAACGTGTGCGACAACACCACGCTCCCCGACGGCAGGAGCGACCGTGCCGTCTTCCCGCTGCACTGCGAGCCGCCACCGCCGCTGCCCCTGTGCCCCCACATCATGCTGCGCTGGGCCAGGCGGAGGAGCATCAGGTCGAGCACCACGGCGCCGCCTCGTGCACCGACCGCCGGAGCGGGGCCGAGCTCTCAGCGGAGGCCGACCGCCAGGGGCGAGGCGGGGGGCCAGGCGGAGGAGGAGGCCGAGCGCCAGGCCGAGCCGCTCCGCCACAAGTGTGGCAGCGGGCTCCGGCGAACCCCTGTCGGCCGGACCTGCCCAGCACCGGCCCGGGCGATGCGCTCCCTTGGCCCCCACTGGGCATGCAAGGCTGCTGCTGCGCCGTCGGGATGTGGCCAAAGCCGCTGCCGCTGGGTCGTGCTCCGAGGGCTCCTCGAGATCTCAGGGCACGGCTCTGGAGCGGCGGGCGTGGGCAGAAGCTGGCGATGGAGCCGCAGGCGGCCATGGCCGCGCTTCCAGTCGGAGCCGCGCGGCGGTCCCACCCGCGCCCGGGACGCTGTCCTCGGCGGTGGCGCCTGGGGCGGCGGCGGCGGGAGCGGTGGCGGCGGGGGGGGGCCGCGTCGGCGACGGCGGCTGGAGCGGCATATGCTGGGAGGACCGCGCGGGCGGCGGCGGCGGCGGCGGCGGCGGCGGCGGCGGCGGCGGCGGCTGGGGCGGCGGCGGCTTCAGCATCGAAGCCAGCGTTAAGTTGGCCATGTCCCTCTGCAGGCGGAATATTTCACGAATAGTCAGAACATGGTGCGGGGACGACTTAGTCGAGCAATTTCCAAGCATTTCGACTTCGACATGGACTATCTCGACTATGTTCGAATGCTTGTTCTGGACTTGTTGAAAAAATGGCTGTTCCAAGATGAGGAGTAGGAGGAGGAGGAGGAGGAGGAGGAGAAGGAGGAGCATGAGGAGGAGGAGGAGGAGGAGGAGGAGGAGAAGGTGGAGGAGGAGGAGGAGGAGGAGGAGGAGGGGGGTGAGGGGGAGGAGTAGGAGGAGGAGAAGGAGGAGAAGGAGGAGGAGGAGGAGGAGGAGGAGGAGGAAAAGAAGGAGGATGAGGAAGGGGACAAGGAGGAGGTGGTGGATCAAGCGACGAGGTCGAGCAGAGGTCGAGGAGGGCCGCCTCGCGGCGCCTCTGCAATCAGGGGCCACAGGTTGGAGAGGCTGCGTGCGGGGGCGGAGGAAGGGAGGGAGGGAGCTGGGGCTTGGATTCAAGTCGGGCATGCCCCTCCACAGGGGAAACATCCAAGAATGGTGAAAAATAGTCAGTGGACGATAGCTCGACTACTTTTGACAATGTTTGCGTCTCAGAACAACTATGTTAAAACTGTCGCCCAACACCCCCTGGAGGGGGACAAGCCCACTTCCTGGGTTGCTGCTGTACATTCAGCCACCGGTCATTCTCTGCCTCGTATCGCCGCGGAGTGCCTGGGCTACTCGAGAGATGTTGCGGTCGTCCTCTCTCTCTCGTGCCCCTCCCTTGGCGTATCTCCGCCACCCCATCCAGAAATGAAGGAGCAAACATAGATAGAGAGAGAGACATAACTTCAGAGAGAGAGAGAGACAGAAAGAGAGAGAGAGAGAGAGACAGAGACAGAGACAGAGAAAGAGAGAGGGATAGAGAGAACGAGTTGCAGCTGGGGGTGGGATTGCCGCACCGCCAAGTTTGTATCCTTGCAGTGGCAGCAGCACCACAGTGAGTGGTGAGTCGGCGTGCTCCAGCCTACAGTTTTTGTCGCCGTCGTCCCTTCTCCAGGCAAGTGGTGGCAGGAACCACCCCCTTTGCATCCGGTGAGACCCGCCCGCCGAGGCCTAAGTACAGGCGAGTCTGGGTGGCAGCCTGCTCTGTTGCGCTGTTCCCCTCTCCTCTGCCTTTTTCTGCCCTCCTCATCCGCATCGCCACACACACTGTCCGTGCTCTTCTTGCCGCTCTCTCGTCTCCCTCCTCCATTCGAGAAGCAGGGGCCAACGAGCAGGGGACGTTGCCAGGTCACCTTCGCCTCCAGCGGAGTGCATCGGCGCAACCTACATTGTGTGCTGGTCGCATGGCGTTACGCTGGAGAATAATGCGGTGAATCACCTGGTCGACATCGGCACTTTTGCAATCAGCGGCCCCTACGGAGACTATTCGGTCGAGTGTTTCATTGGGCAGATCTGCGCCCGTCCCTCAGGAGACCACGGCGGAGTGAGTAAACTCCATGTGGCCCATGGTTTGATGGATACGCCGATGGATCGGGACTGGGGTGGTCTGTCAGTCCGCGTTTTGGGACTTGGTTCGGCCAGATGGGCCAGGATCAGAATCGGGCCGAGGATCACGTGGCGGATCGCATTGGATGGTGGGGGTGTTTCCAAGGCCTTCTCTCTCTATGGTGCGGAGCTGGGTTCGAGCAACCAGGTGCGCGTGATCGAGAGCCAGTATTCTTGCGGCGACGCGTCAGCAGGAGAGCCCTTTTGCATATGTCGAGCGCAGTCGGGTGGACGGGCAGCGTCGGTGAGTGGATCGAGTGGCAGTTCTGGGGAGTGCGAGAGGCTTTGAAGAGCAGCCGCTGGTCTCCGATGGGAGTCTTGCGGTATACCCCGTGTCTGGCTCTCGGTCGTGGTGAGCACCTCTGGATGTTCTGCTCTCCCGGCTGGGTCTGGAGTCTCGCAGGACATGGCAGGCTTCCACACGCCTGGCCCGAACCATGTGGCCGACCCCAGAGGCCCTGTGAAATTGCGCCGGCGTTGGCCATTCTTTCGGGAGGACGTCGGCCACGCGCAGGGGAGGGGGGGAAGGCGTCTCAGAAGGAGGCCGCTTCGCAGAGAGCGCGGGCCTTGCCTATAGATGTGAGGGTGACGCTTTCCAAGACCGGGGAGACGTAGTACTCGAGTAAGCCGCAACGCGGGTTTGCCGTCGTTTTCTGACGAGCCCGGCCCTGGATTTGTACGGTCCAGTCTTCGGGGGAGCTTTGCTGCGGGAGCTCGCGTCGAGTTTCAGATGGGGTCTCGTCGTTTTCATGGTGGCCCCATCGGGCCAACCCGAGTCCCCCGTACAGTGCCGTTTTTAAACATGCGCCGCGTGCGGATCATGTATTACAAGTGCAGGGATTCAGTATCCAAAACAACGATGAGGTCATGCATAAATTTATTCAGACATTAATCATGTATTAACAAACCATATGTTGAAAAATCATATGTATGAAAACCTGCCCTGTATGTACCCGAGTCTTACGTCTCCCCGATGAGAAGCAGCCTCCTCCCACGAAGCCTTCCTTCCCCCTTTTCCCTCCCCCCCACCGGCGCGCGCCGCCCAGGGAGGTTGGCGCTCCTGCCTGCGCACGCCGAGCCGCCGGCGCCTGCCGGGGAAGAGGGCCGCCCTCGTGCGGCCCTCCGCGGCGCTCTCCCCGCTGGCCTGCGCGGAGGGAAGCGAGGCTCACGGCGGCTCGGTCTTCGTCGGGGGCGAGGTACGACTCGAGGTGTTGCGCTATATGTTCGGCCTCCAAAGGGCCCCTGCCGGGCCCAGGGACCGTCAGAAAAGCTCAACCCCCAGTTTTGGGGCATGCAGGCAGCACCTGTCGCACCGATCTGGGGCATGCAAGCAGCGCCTGTCATTCCAGTCGTTGTCCTCCTCCTCTTCCTTTCTCCTTCTGACCGTCTTTGCGAGAGCTGCCTGAAGCAAAGCCTCGCCGACGCTTGGTGCCCAAATGGTGTACAGCTTTGCTGCGATCGATGGACAACAAAAGATTTGGGATGAAGCAACCGTCCCGGGAAAGAGTCGAGACATCTGGGATCGGTAGCAAATCATGGGAGTCTGGTATACCCTTTGAATCCAATTCCTCGATTCGCGTCGACTCGCGCCTGAGAGTCGATGAGAAGTGCCGATGTAGCGTCGGCTAGCGTCGATTAGCGTCAATCTAGCGTCAACTTAGCGTCGATTAGCGTCGACTAGCGTCGACTAGCGTCGATTCGTAAGAGCCGACAAGATAGTATGGGAGGCTTCCATGAATTGCCACCGAATCTGGGGTCGACGTTTTAAACTAATCATGATGTCGGGGGTCTGGGTCTGAGGCTGCGCGACCTGAGCAGGCGCAGGCTGGCGCGCGACCTGTCAGAGCGCCCTCGCCTCCTCCTCCTCCTCCTCCTCCTCCTCCTCCTCCGCCTCCTCCTCCTCCTCCTCCTCCTCCTCGCCCCCCCTCCCCTCCGCCTCCTCCTCCTCCTCCCTCCCCTCCGCCTCCGCCTCCTCCTCCTCCTCTGCCTCCTCCTTCTCTCCGCCTCCTCCTCCTCCTCCTCCTCCCTCCTCCTCTCTCCTCCCCTCCTCCTCCGCCTTCTCCTCCTCCTCCTCCTCCTCCTCCTCCTCCTCCGTTCTCATCCTCCTTCTCTCCGCCCCCCCCCCCCCCCCACACTCCCCGCAGGTGCTGTCAAGCTGCCTGGCCTGCGGAACCCGATGAGGGCATCGGACGTCCTGGGCACCAGCGCAACGTTCCGCCTCGGCACATCAGGGAAGCTTCGTCGCCTGTCCCCGCCGCTGCCCCCGCCGCCGCCGCCCATCCCTCCAGCGGCAAGCTGGAAGTCAGTCACCCTCGGGGCTCCCAGATATCTGCGCCTTGCGCCTCGTGGCCTGGGCCGAGGACACTCTATTCTCCAGGGGGGCCGCGCGAGAACACGAAGCCTGCCGCGCTTCGCACGCAGGGAAACGCGAAGGGGGGGGAGCTCTGTACCAGATGGCCAAGCAAGCTCGTGCACGATTGGGTTTCATGAGCTGGAGCACGCGGAGGATGGCGAGGCGGATGACGAGGGCGAGATCGTATGCATCGACATAAGCCGTGGCATGGCATTCCCCGCGGTGTTGGGGGAGCGTGCCCGGCGTGCGACGCTGCCCCCCGCCCCGAACTTCTGCTTGGCTTGTGCGCTTGCTGTCCAGGTGCAGTTTTCGTAGATATGATTTGCAACAGTGATGTTTACCTCCTTCTGCTTATCCTACTCCCCATCGCAACTGGAGGTGCGACATCGGACATCTGGGGCAAGCGCAGACATGACACAACCGTTGGCGCTCCCGCCTGATTTGCAACGTTTGAGCTCAGATTCCGCCGATTCGACTTCTCCCGACTCGGCTGCCGATTTCCGCCGATCCGATTCATTTCGACCGCCGATCCGGCTTATCGATTCGGTTCTGGGCTCTAGGGGGGGGGTCACCTCGTGAGGGAGGGGTGGGAAGAGGCGGCGGTGAGGGGTGCGCAGGCATACGAGGAGTACAGTCAACCCGCTTACCAGGAGATGCGCGGCAAAGATGCAAGGGCTCTCGAAGGCCACGCCGACACCTTTCGAGCGGGGCGCGGCCAGCGAAAGTTGCCGAGGGTGGGCCGAAGGGGAAGGATGCTTCGGATGCAAGTCCGGGGAGGTCAAATTCTGATGTTGCCCTGGTCCGAAGTCCGGCTGAATCCGGCATATAATCCAGCTTAACCCCGCTTAATCCGGCTTAATCCCGCTTAATCCCATTTAATCCCGCTTAATCCCGCTGAATCCGAGGCCCATTCCGGCGTAACAGCTCCCAAATGGGGCTTAAGCTTCCTCAGTCTTTCCGACGAAAACCTCCCAGCAGTTGCCTCTTAAGGATGCACGGGTAACCTTGGGACGTCGTTCATCCTTACATTGCGGGTTGATTGCAACATGCCCTCAGGAAGGGAACCGCTGCCCCTCGTCCTGGCCGTTCCTCCCTGCCGCCCAGCCTCCCCATCCACCATTCTCCTCCGTATCCATCTCCTCGTTTCTCCACTTCCTCTTCCGCCTCCGCCTCCTCCCGCTGCGCGTCCGCGCCCGGCGAGGCAGTAGCACCATCATCATCACCATCACACTCACCACCATAATACCACCACCACCATCACCAGTACCATCAATATTATCATCATCATCATCAGATTAGCATTATCGTCATCAGTATCACCATCAACATTATCATCATCAGTATCATCATCATCCTTGTCTTCCTCCTCGTCAGCATCACCATCATCACGATGATCATCATACTCATCATGATCACCACATCCATCACCATCACCATCTTGATCATCGAAGTCATCATCATCCTCATCATCATCATCATCAACAATTCAATAATCATCATAATCATCATCACACTCACCATCTGCTTTATTGTCTTCACCATCACCATCAAACCAGCATTACCAGCATCATTATCAGCATCATCATCCTCAAAAGCATCATCATCTTCTTCATCATCATCATCGTCATTATCATCATAACCGTCATTCGCATCACCGTTTCCACCGCCATCATCATCATCATCATCATCATCATCATCATCATCATCATCATCATCATCATCATCATCATCATCATCATCGTCATCGTCATCTTCATCACCATCATGACCATGATCATCTTCATCATCATCATCACCACCCTCATCATATTCACCATCATCATCATCACCATCATCATCATCATCACCATCATCATCATCATGACCACCATAATCCGCATCATCAGCATCATCATCACCATCGTCATCGTCATCGTCATCATCATCACCATCATCATCACGATCACCATCATCACCCACCATCACCATCACCACGCTATCATTCTTCGACGGCTTCGACCGCACCTGCGAGCTCGCCACCGGGCCGCACAGCATCCGTTTTTCTGCGCAGTCGCCCGCCCGGCCGGCCGCAGCCTCGACGGCGGAGCCGCTGTGCGGGCAGACCCTTCAGGGATCGCGCGCCCTCCTCGGCGGCGTGCTCCTCTTCCCGCCTGTCTGTATGTAGCTCTCTCTGTCCTTCCATTTTTCCACACGTGCGAATCATCTTCCACTACGCCCGGTTGCCGGGACTGCGTGTCCCATACGCCTACCCTCTTAGAGGACCGCCCCATAGGGGCTGGAATGTGGGTCGCATCGCATCGCATCGCATCCTCGGCGGCGAGCCCGGGGGGCGGTGAGAAGGTGCGGGCCTTCTCAGAAGGCTCTGTGAAGTCCCCTCGGCCTAAATGAGAAGTGTTCGAAGCGCTCCCCCCGAGGACACAGAGCACCTTTCAGAAAGCCAAGAAGGCCCTTTGAGCAGTGTCGCCGCCTCCTCAGAAGGCCTTCTCTTCCCATTTCCCCCCCCCCTCTCTACTCGCCGCCAGCCTCCCTCCCCCCCCCCCCGAGGGGGGGGCGGGGAGGGGGAGGGGGGGGCCGCTGGGACCTCCGGGGGCCTCCCAGGGACGGGCGGCCGCGCGAGAGCGGCCGCGTCTTCCCCCAGAGCGCCTCCGTGCCTCGCGGGGTCCGGCGGACTGACCGGAGGCAGGGTGACGGAGCACAGGCTGCCCCGTGTCTCGCCGTCCCGCAGCAGGAGGAGAAGCGGGAGGAAGAGCAGGAGAAGGAGTGGGCGCAGGGGGGTGGGGGAGACTCGGGGGCGGACAGACCTCCTACCCCGACGCGTCGATTCCAGAATTGGCCGTTTGCGGTTCGCGAGAGGGCGGCGCGGCCGTCATTTTTGCGGGTCCAGGTCCGTCGGTTTCGGTCCCGGGCCGTTTTCACTAAGGGGAGGTTTACTAAAGGGAGGTTGGTCCACCGCCGAGAGAAGGAACAGGAGCAGGCATGGGCAGAGGGTGAGGAAGAGAAGGAGGAGGAGGAAGATAATGCGGAAAGGGGTGCAATGAGGCGGAGAAGCTGAAGTGAGATGAGGCGGTGTCCATTCATGAGAAGGGCGAGCACAATGAGAAGGAGATGGGGAGGAGGAGGGGAAGGAGGAGGAGGAGGGCGAGGAGGGCGAGGAGGGCTCCTCCTCCTCCTCCTCCTCCTCCTCCTCCTCCTCCTCCTCCTCCATACCGTCTCCTTATAGATAACTCTTCCCTGTCGCACCCCCAGGCCAGTTTTTAGGGCGGGCAGGGCGTTTCGTCTGAGACTTCCTCACAATTTCTGATTACGAAGCTTACGAAGTGACAACAGCTTCACAGATGGAGGGCGGGTGGTTTTCGAAATGTAGCTCTCGCCTTAGCGCCGCGCACATTCGCTGTAAACATTTGCAAGAGTTTCACGGATTGAGGGCGGGTCGTTTTCAAAATGTGGCTCTCGCCTTAGCGCCGAGCACACATGTTGCAACAAATTGGCAACAGCTTCACAGATGGAGGGCGGGTGGTTTTCGAAATGTAGCTCTCGCCTTAGTGCCGCGCACATTCGCTGTAAACATTTGCAAGAGTTTCACGGATTGAGGGCGGGTCGTGTTCAAGATGTGGCTCTCACCTTAGCGCCGCGCACATTTGTTTCAAACATTTGCAAGCGTTTCACGGATTGAGGGTGGCTCCTTTTCAAACTTCTGTTCTCGCTTTATCGCCGCGCACATTCGTTTTAAACATTTGCAAGAGCTTCACGGATTTTTCAGAATGTGGCTCTCGCCGTAGCGCCGCGCACATTTGTTGCAACAACTTGACAACAGCTTCACAGATGGAGGGCGGGTGGTTTTCGAAATGTATCCCTCGCCTTAGCGCCGCGCACACTCGCTGTAATCATTTGCAAGAGCTTCACGGATTGAGGGCGGGTCGTTGTCAAAATGCGGCTCTCACTTCAGCGCCGCGCACATTTGTTTCAAACATTTGCAAGAGCTTCACGGACTGAGGGTGGTTCCTTTTCAAAATGTGGTTTTCGCCTTAGCGCCGCGCACATTCGTTTTCAAATGTTGCAAGAGTTTCACGGGCTCCCAGGGTCAACGTACCAGAAATAATATGCTGGAAAGATTCAGGATTATGCAGGTGCAACAGTTCTGTGGATTCGCGGTGTGGAAGTCCCAAAGATGGCACTCGGGAGCGATTCCGGATCGTCAAGACGCAGCAGTCAGGTTGATACGTGGCGTTGAAATCCCGAGAACAATTTTTGGCATGCTTCAGGATCTTCAAGCGGTGTTGTCTTCCAACGAGGCAGCTCCCTCAATGGAAATAAACCGTTGTGGGGGCCTATGAAGAGGAAGCTTGGAGGAAGGGTTAACTCCACCATCGTTGATGGCTCTTGGTTTTGCACTGGTCCTTCTCCTCCTCCTCCTCCTCCTCCTCCTCGTCCTTCTCTCCTCCTCCTCCTCCTCCTCCTCCCCCTCCCCCTCCTCCTCTCCTCCTTCTCCTCCTCTCCTCCTCCTCCTCCTCCTCCTCTCCTCCTCGTCCTCTCCTCCTCTCCTCCTCCTCCTCTCCTCCTCCTCCTCCTCCGCCTCTCCTCCTCCTCCTCCTCTCCTCCTCCTCCTCCCCCTCCCCCCTCCCCTCCTCCTCCTCCTCCTCCTCCTCCTCCTCCTCCTCCTCCTCCTCCTCCTCCTCCTCCTCCTCCTCCTCCTCCTCCTCCTCCTCCTCCCCCTGCTTGCTTCTCTGCGCCTTGCACCGCGGCTCGGCCAAGATCTGGCGACGGGTCCTCGCCCCTGCACGGCACCCTGCCCAGGGGCCCCCCGGCCCGGCCTCCGGGGGGGCCCTCGTGGGCGCCGCCGCTCGGCCGGTGGGGGCTGAGCTGCGTCTCGGCGCCCACGTGCGGTGGAGGCCCA